CGGGACCGGACCGAGACGGGACCGGGGGCGCTGCCCGGCTCCTCGGGGCGAAGCCGCGCGGAACTCGCGAGGCTGCCCGCGGCCGCTCCGCGCAGACCGGTGGCCCCCGTGGGACCGGCTTCGGCATCTTCAAGGTGTCGGGTCGGGGCAGAAGTCGTAACTGGGGGCTCCAGGCAAGTCAAATGGTGCTAACGAATGAACCGATTAACTTTCCAGTTATCGTAAGGCACTGTGGTTGCTGGGGAGTGGAACGGGGGGTTAAACTGCAAGGAGAAGGGAGGGGGGGAGGACGGGACGGCACTACAAACAACAACAACAAAAAGAAAGAGTCAAAGTCAGAGACAGAAGAAATAGCACACATACACACTTCAGCTTATGGACAGAAAGATCTGAGGGGGGGAATTGAGTGGAAGCGTTCACAAGCACAGGTAAGAGATGAATGAGAACTGGCGTTTCCCGAGCATCCCCTCAGCTCTCAGCCATCGAAAAAAATCCTGAACCTTGTAGAAGACTAACAGCAAAGTGCTGCCCAAGTTTGACCAGACCATAAGGACTAGTGGTCTTGGCTACCAGCCCTGACCAATGCCATTCACACCACACCTTAAATAGCACCCACCCAACGCCCTGCCAGCTCCCTGCCCAGGGCAGTCCCTTTGCTCACACCTCTGACAAATCCAGAACCACAAAACTGGGTAGAGACAAGGACGGTAACTTAGAAAGTTTGCAAAGGGGCTGGGGAGCCGTGAAAGCAAAGCAACCCGTTCAATTCGGATGGCCCCTGTGCAAGTGACAGAACCACCCTTATAAGTTAATTTTAGTATTAGTTGTTTGTTTGAACTCTCTGTTGTTGTTGGTTTTGGCGACTTTGTTTTTTTTTCCCCCTCCCCATGGTCACATATGAGATTGCTAAATTATTTTGAAAACTAGAAGCTTGATAGACAAAGTTAATTATGTCACTTGAAAAAGTATCATATCATATATTGCACAGCATATATGCACAGGTGTCTGCTGCCCAGTGGAAAGGCTCTGATGCACAAACAAGTAAGAATGGAGCAGTGACTCACAGGATGTCTTTGGGTTTGCTTCTGAGAAAGCAGTCAAAACCTACCTTGTGCAGTAGGGTACCAAAGAACAGTGCTCTGGAGATCTTGGGAGCAGCATGAGGACACCCCCATTACCATCACCACTGTCACAAGTGACATGCCACTAGGCAGAGCAGTGTGGGAAGAGACTGCTGTCCCTTTTCTAGTCATTAGATGCAAGGTTCAGATCTGCGGCTGTCAAGCCAGTTCTCCTCATGGGATCACAATTCGGATCAAAAAGCGACTGTAAACAGTTGGAGAGTAAAGTCCAAATACCTCCAAAATGTTCCCAGAACCTGACCAGATAGTCAAACAGGGAGCTAGGTAAGAATACCACTGCCAGCGCTGAAATCTCTGAAGAGTCTTTTAGCTCTACAATACATTCCAAAGCAGCCTACCCTTCCCTGGTCTTGCACACTGGCTGTGGCTGGGCTACCTTTCACACACAATCCGTCTGCACGCACACATCCCACCTTCAACATTTTTCTTCACATAGCAGAGAAGCACTGCTCGTGCTCTCAGTGATCACTCAAAAGCTACACAAAAAGCTAGTTGATTATTGTTAAGCTTATTGAGAGGTGGTTTCCCAACACCCTCCAACAATCAAAACATAAAACATAAAAGCATGAATACTCAACAGATCAGCACATACATTAAACAGAATTGTTTGTCCTAAAAGCTGATCTCAGATGTTGCAGATTTCCCCAAATGGGAGGTTCTCCATATGCCATGAGCTACACCAAAAACAACCCCCAAAACTGTTACACATTAGAAATGTGTATCAGAAATGTAATATTAGAAATAATAGAAGCAGGTTAGAAAAAGAAGCATGCTCGCCAAGCTGCATCCCATCATTTACCAACAGTCCTGGCTGACCAGAGAGGTCCTGACAGATTAGAAATTGGCCAATGTGACACCCATCTATAAGAAGGGTCGGAAAGATGATCCGGGAAATAACAGGCCTGTCAGCTTGACTTTGGTGCCTGGGAAGCTGATGGAGCAGCTCATCCTGAGTACCATCACACAACACATGCGGGACAACCAGGGGATCAGGCTCAGTCAGCATGGGTTTAGGAAAGGCAGGTCCTGCCTGACAAACCTGATCTCCTTCTACGACAGGGCGACCTGCTTATTGGATGAGGGAAAGGCTGTGGATGTAGTTTACCTTGACTTTGCACCGTGTCCCACAGGATTCTCCTGGCAAAACTGGCTGTGTGACACTTGGATGGGCACACACTTTGCTGGGTAAAAAACTGGCTGGCTGGCCGGGCCCAAAGAGTTGTGGTGAAGGGAGTTAAACCCAGTTGGCAACCGGTCACAAGTGGTGTCCCCCAGGGCTGGGTGTTGCGGCCACTCCTGTTTAACATCTTTATTGATGATCTAGACGAGGGGATCGAGTGCACCCTCAGTCAGTTTGCAGATGACACCCGGTTGGGTGGGAGTGTTGATCTGCTCGAGGGTAGGGAGGCTCTGCAGAGAGACCTGAACAGGCTGGAGCGATGGGCTGAGCCCAAGTGGGGGAGTTTCAATAAGGGCAAATGCCGGGGGCTGCCCTTGGGCCACAACAACCCCCAGCAGCGCTACAGGCTTGGGGAGGAGTGGCTGGAGAGCTGCCAGTCAGAGAGGGACCTGGGGGGGGGGGTGATTGACAGTGGCTGAACAGGAGCCAGCAGTGTGCCAAGGGGGCCAAGAAGGCCAATGGCATCCTGGCTTGTGTCAGCACTAGCGTGGCCAGCAGGGACAGGGAAGGGATCTGAGCCCATACTTGACACTGGTGAGGCTGCACCTCGATTCCTGTGTTCAGTTTTGGGCCCCTCACCCCAAAAAGGCCATTGAATGACTCGAGCGTGTCCAGAGAAGGGCAACGGAGCTGGTGCAGGCTCTGGAGCACAGGTCTGATGGGGAGCGGCTGAGGGAACTGGGGGGGTTTAGTCTGGAGAAGAGGAGGCTGAGGGGAGACCTCATTGCCCTCTACAGCTATGAAAGGAGGGTGCAGAGAGCTGGGGATGAGTCTCTTTATCCAAGTAACAAGCAACAGGACAAGAGGTAATGGCCTCAAGTTTTGCCAGGGAAGGTTTAGACTGGACATTAGGAAGCATTTCTTTACAGAATGGGTTGTTGGGTGTTGGAATGGGCTGCCCAGGGCAGGGGGGGAGTCCCCATCCCTGGAGGTGTTTAAGAGTCAGGCTGACATAGCGCTGAGGGATCTGGTGTAGTTGGGAACTGTCAGTGCTAGGTGAATAGTTGGACTGGATGATCTTCAAGGTCTCTTCCAACCTAGTTGATTCTGTGATTCTGTGAAAATGCGCAATAGAAGCATTATTGCTAGAAATGAAACCTCATTTGACACAGCCGTGTCTTTCTGACCCCAAAAGGTTAAAATTCTCAGGATTTCTCCCACTATATCTGCTACTTATAATAATTTTAATGATTTTTCATAATTTTAACATAACAGACAATTTTTACAGTGATTTGCAAAAAATGTCTGTGCTTCTGTATAAATATATATATAATCTCATCACAGGAATGATGTGGACCTGTTGGAGCAGGTCCAGAGGAGGGACACAAAAATGATCAGAGGGATGAACACCTTTAAAGATCCCTTCCAACACAACCAATTCTATATGCATATATATATATATATATATATATATGCTGTACAATACAGCTGCCCTGCTGTGGCTTTGCTATACCCTTTTTTCTGAGCTGTTCTGCATTTTAACAGGTAAAACACTCCTGTTCAACAGATGATTTTGCAACCTACCATTAATTCATTAAACACACTTTCAACAAATAGTTTTCCGCCTGCTGTCCACAGATCCCTGTGAGTCTGCCGACTATTTCAAAGGGCTCATATAATTTTGAGGAAAGCAAGACTGTCTAAAGGCTTAAATTCTTTGTAAAAAGGAATGGATATTTACTGAAAAAGGTTAGGGATCTGTAAATCAAGAAAGGCTGAAAACATTCAATATGAAGAAGTTCCAAATAAGAGAGTTCATCATATGGATTTGAGGACGATTAAGAAATTCTAACACACACTTCTGCTGCACAGAATAATGCAACTCTGCTAGTATTTATATTCATACATGCAAAAAAAGCATACACAGCTCTTTAAAGAGCAGAGAAACAATTATCAACCTCTGAAGCACCTTCCATATTATGTAAGATACCAGGGCTTTGTTCCTGCACCTAACAGCGAGAAGTTTTTCAGCTTCTTTTGGTTTTGTTACATTTCAGTGACACAATGGACCTTGGGAGCAGAGGAAGAATCCACTGCAGCATGAGACTTACCTGCACTCTGCTAATAATGGGAGCGTTCTGCATGACACCTTTCCTCTGCCACAGCCAAATTGATCCTCTAGCTCTTGGGCGAGCAGACCCCCAGTGTTGGGAATCCTCCTCAGCTGTCTTACTGGAAATGAGGAAGCCTCGCATTTCTGACTCTGTCAGTGGCTTTTGGGACTTCATGATCTTCCTGAAGTCATCAGAAAACTTGAAACATGGGGCTCTGTTCTGGGACCTGGCTCAGCTCTTCTGGGATATCTATGTGGACTGCGTGCTCTCCAGAACCCATGGCCTAGGGAGAAGGCAGCTAGCAGAAGCTGAACAGAAGATTGCTACTCTCCATTCTCAGTTCAAAGGGAGAAACCAAGGTTACTACTCCTTTAATACATGTCTCATGGGCAATAACTAGAGTCTAGTAGGAAAGAAAGGAGATACAGGCTTATTGTGTTATGTGGTAATAGTACGAAAACAGAGGACAGTTCTGCACAACCACCCCCCACTCGAGTACAGAGCTGTGCTTATGTTCAAAGTGATTTCAGTAAAAATTTGACCTCCAAATAACCTGAAATCTAATGGCAGCTTATACATTTCAGTTTGGTAGAGGAGGAAGGGCAGCAGAAAGTGAAACATAGGAGGATTCAAAGAAGGCAGCTCAGCAACTGAACATACAAAGATACAATTCCACACCAGCATTTTTATCACTATTGTGCCGTGGAAAGGCTAGTTCTGAATTCCTCATTCCAAGAGGTGCACCACTCCAGGAGTGTGTCACAGTGGTGCTGCTGGGAAGAGCAGCAGTCTTTCAGCAGAAGAGCAGGGATATGTATACTTGCCATCTAGTAGTCAACCACTATATATTTCTTATTTCCATACTGGTAACTTTGCCCAACACACAACGGAAACAGACCTAGGACTCAGATACACGCAGGCTTTCAGACACAGCTACAGCTTCAGGAGGAAGAACACCACCTGTGATGAAATCCCTGATCCCCAGGTTCCCAGCCTCCATGCAGAATCCCCAGGCTTAAAGTGTCTCCACATGTGGTAAGGTGAGAGCTGGCACCTCGCAGCAGGATCTGAAAAAAAAAAAAATAGTATGTCAGCCTCGCCATTCCCAGCAGGAATATACAGCATAGCTTTTCCTAAATCTCAGCCCCTTCCAAGGCTTCAGTTCTGATTCTGCTACCAACAGATACATTCTTCCCCTGAGAATGTCCACTTTGAGAAAAGGGCAGGTGCTATGACTTGGTGGAGGGGTGGAAGTAGTGCTGCTGCTGCCGCCACCAGCGCCAGCATAGTGCATTGGGCCCACAGGGAGAAAGCAGAACTGCCTTTCCACTTGAATGGACTCAGACCCTTATCTCCACTTATTAGATCAGTGTCCTAGTTATGAAGATACTTGGAGGGAATGTCCATGGAATATGAAGAACCTCTCCAAGCAGTTACCCATTAGAGTGTCTCGAAAACAAGGGACTTTAACTCAGGATTCTTCCACCCCAGGGATACTATACCACTGGATAGTCCAGCTCTTGCCCACAAAACTTAAAATGTTTTGTGTATTGAAAGATAGAATTTGAGATAGGAAGGACTGAGGGGTCCTTACCCCCATTACCTACAGTATCATAGCCATTAGACTAGGAGATAGGAGTTGTGTTTGAATCAGACTGAAGAACTCGCACACACAGGGCCAGTTTCTGAATGCTGAGCCAACCAACCACTGTCCACATTTTAAAAGCAAGGAGTGGAGCCTATTCTGCTCTGCAGAGAATCGAGCTACCACGTAGCTCTGAGATCTTCACTGTGTTGGTTCCTGCTGATGGCAGGCAGCACAGAACTCCTTTCTGGTTCCCAAGTGGCCTTAAACATCACAACGGCAACAAGTTGCTCAGTCCTGACCAGACTGATGCACTTTTGGGTGCAGAAAGCAGCTTTAGACTCGAGGCAGTAGTCCTATCAAAAAACTGACATGCCCACCAGGGTAAAGCACCAGATGAATTTTTGTCTTCAGGATCGCAGCTTTGAATATCACTATATAAATTCCTCCTTAGCCTTTTGTTTACACCTGGCTCTTCATGTCTGTATCACACTGTGATTTTCCTAAACAAAGACCTTTTGTTCCAGTCAAGATTAAAAGTCTGATGTATTTTTAAGAATTAAAATTATGGGTTTTGTGATTAACACTGACTTTTGTTTACTCCTATACAGAGAGATTTTAAGCATGACTAAGTATTCACACTTTAAGACAAACAAAGATTCCTCTCCTTCTCCTTCTTTTACCTCTGTTTTATGAGCTGTAATCAGTTAATCTGGTTTCTCTGTACAATTGATTAACATCAGTCAGTAGCAGGCAGCCTATAGCAGTGACAGCCTAAATTTTTTTTTTTTTTTTGAGGAGTTAACCTCTCATCCAAGTCTCCCAGTTTCTTAACAAAGCCAGCTGTTTTAATCTTTGTAACCCTCAACCCTACTGCCTGGTTTCATCAGTGAAAGCAGAAATCAGTTGTTAATAATTGCAGATAGAAATCACATCCTAGCAAATGATGAGTAATAGAATTACCACTTCTTATGTGTAAAGAGATGTACAAGCCTGTTTTCTTAGCCCAAAGAGCAGCACTAACAGCATTTAAATGACCTTGTGTACTTCATGTCTATATGGATGGGTATGAACACCTTTCAGTAGGCTTGTTCTACAAGTTAAACAATAAAGCAAGATTTTTTGCTTTGTACTGTTACTTTTCCAATTGTTGATAACATCTTTATTGATCCACACTGAAGTTTTTCATCTTATTCCTCTTAAATATTCACAATTTCAATTTGGCTGTGGGTTGTTTTTTTTTTTAAATTGCAAACAGGATCACCAATCAGGAGCAATCTGTAAGCTTCATTCACTGTAGTTCCTTAAAGATATAATTGAATTAGAAAAGCAAGACAGAGATCCAGGCTTGGTACAGAAATGCTGATGCTAAGGTGTTATGATTCTAGTGTCAGATTTCAGAACTAAAGGATAAATTCCATGAAGTCACTGTGGAAACTGAGTATCAGGAAGTGAGCTTTACTAAGAAAAAAAACAGAAAAGCCCTTCAAGCCAAAAAATCCTAGTGAAGGTCTTGGTAAAGACGTCTCAGTAGTACTGAACAGAACTAACCATCACATCTAAGAAGCACTTCCACAGTTCCCCATACTTCACCCTTCTATGAAGCAAGTCTGTCTAGGTGTACAACAAGGCAGTGGCTGAAGTGGCCCAGGTCCAGACTTACGGGTCCAAACACCGTTTTCTGAACTGGTCTAGTCCTGCCAGGCTCCTGATTGTAGTTACTAACATGTCTGAAGATACTCTTCAAACTCTATGCAATCCACGCAAAATACAACGAAATCAGAATAGCTGTATATGAGTTATCTGACAAACTGCCTTCACCCAGCTAACATCCAAAACAATCCAGCAACATTTCAACTTCCCTAGATGCCCTGCAGAGAAGTGTCAGCTTTAAACTGAAATAAGTAGGGAGAGTCCTTTACAGTCACCTGGCAAAGGTACCTTTAGCAAGTCATCCCTTCCTCCTAACAAAAACCAAACACTATAAAAAAAAGCAGGTTTTATAAAAACATTTCCAATATACTACAACACTGGAGTTAGATATGTTATAGCTGTGACAACCCTTAATGAGCCAAGACTCAAGAATCACAAGGAAAGCATGACTTTGGTACTCACTACAAATCTTCCTAAGCATAGCTGTACATGAAGATTCTCCTCAAAAAAACACATAAGTGCATCCCCACTATAAACACTTGAAGAATACAAACACAGAAACATCTCTATGTCTTTTCCGCCCCTTTTCTCCTCTCCCAGGGGTCCCCCTGCTGCCTCTTCACCCAGAGTGGCCACAGCTGTGCACACCCACCTCACCGGTGCTGGTATCTTGGCTCAGATCAACCCTTCACCTGGCCTAAGACACACACAACTTATTGTCCCAGCCCTGCTGGGTTGTAGAGGGCTAGGGAGGGTAGTGGTGCAAGGGCTGTTGTATTATGCATTTGAAGGATGGTAAATAAACAAGTACTGTGTTAACCAGTTACTTTTTCAGAACAAATGTGTCTAAAAGAAATAAAGCCAATCTGCTGGCTTTCAGAGATGATTGCAATGAAAATGTTCCATAGCTCCTCAAGGAAGTAACAAATGTACTACTAAACAGAGGGAGAGATCTCATCTGCTGTGCGGGGAGGTTGATGACAAGCTGGTGAGTCAGTAAGACTGTGAGCAGACTCGAGTGCTTTGACTCTGCTACTTACAAGTGGAATAGGTTTATAGGAATACAGTAGGAAAATGTCCATGATGGGTGAAAAGATCAAAGTAACTTGTCACTAAAAGGCAGCTTGCAAATGGAGGGATGTGGCTACTGCCAAAACAAGAGTTTTGGGGGCAATGCTGATAAAACAGGGACCAACAGCAGCAAAAGATGGAGGAAACATGGATGTGGGAAATAGTATTCAGCTGCTCTTTGCTGTTTGGAAATCGATTACTTATACTCATTTTCATGTCACTTTTCAGGGATATTTTCTCATATTCAGAGGTCACCAGTTCTGAAGAAGAAAGACTCGTTTGAAGATTTAATAAGTATCCACATGGATAAGAGTAGATCTACATTACTTGGAAGAATCACTGGAGAGCTAGGGAAAAAGAGAAAATGGCACATTTAGTCCAAAATCTTGATTTGTAGATTTTTTTAACTACTTCTCTTTAATTTTTGCATTTTAATCCTCACTGATGTCAATTTACGTGGTGGAAGAAGGTCTATAACTATGAGCACTGTATGTCTGATAAACTTGGACTTGCGGGGTTTTTTAATTACCTATTAATACAGCCTCCTTAATAAACTGCATGATTTATAAGCAGTTGCCTACTTTAACCTGTGTGTATGTCAGACCTTTTGTAATGCATGTGACCTATTCAAACTATTGTCCTTTGGGTGCCAAAACAGGAAATAACTGATCCTACAACAAGGCACAGACAAGCAGAACAGGAAGTGTGAAAAGCCTCCACAAGGCAGGGTTAGAGTTGAGACGGTGATGCTTTATTGTATGCATAGCTGTACATTTGTACAAAGCAACCACTGCTGAAAGACGTCATCCCGCTAAAGAAACGTACATATTTTTATAATAAAAATATTTCTGTTTTCTAGCAAAAGGGTTAACAGGTTTTACCAGCTCCTCTGTTTGCTTTCACGTTATATTTTTACATTATTTTCCCTGAATTTTTAGTTATTAAAAACACCACTTAAAATGTTACACGTTCTCACTTAAAGTGTTTAGTCAGAAGAATTCTCATAAATAATTTGAATTTGCGTCTTTTTTAGATTTCAAGTTCTTCGTAGACAAATCACTTTGTCATTGATAACTCTAATAGGCAATTTGATATTAAACTCATGCAACATAACTTTGGGCAGGTAACATTTCATGCTTTGATGAAATGAAGTATTTCCACTGCCTGGCTGGCTGAATGCAACTACAAAATTCAGCTTTCCAGGGCAACTACATTTAGTTGCTCATTCCAAGTTTCTTTTCTTGAGCATGTGGCAATATTTGGTTGCCTCTTTTTTTTTTTTTTTTTTTTTTTTTACTCATTTGCTGGGTGTGCATCAATGCACAAAATGCAGAAATAGGGTCAAGTAGGAAAATGTGTAAATGAAACCTTAAAATGGTTACTGGGCCAGAACAAAATAAAGCTTATACATAGTGCCATTAAGTGGAATTTCAAGGAAGCAGACAAAAAACTGTAAGGTGGCTATGAGCTTCAACGGCGCTGATTTGTGCTTAAAGTTAAGCATGTAAAAGCTATTTAAATGTTCAAGAGAGGAGGGAACACTAAAGCAGGATGAGCACAGGAACATACAGTTTGGTGAACTCAGCAACAATCCCCCAGCTGCCTCTCTGCCTGAAGCCACAGCCTGTCGAGTGCTCTGCTACCATGTGTAAAGGAGGAGAGAGTATTGTGACAACAGATCTGCTCACTCCTCTACTTCTGTTGTTAATTATCTAAATTATATTAACATATCTAATAGCCCCATTGTGTACAAATTTGTATTAACATAAGAGACACCATCTCCACCCACAGTCCCTACAGCTATTAAGACCAGCAGCTGACAAAGAGCGTGTTAAGGGCTGGATACCTCAGCCGAGTAGGATCGGAACTGTAGTAGACCAGATGTTACCTGTTCCCATATGCTCTCAAGCTCTAGAAAATGTTAAACCAGACTGATTATCTGAACTGTTTATCTTAGATGCTCTTCCACACAGCTCTTTGGGAAGAGGCTAGTGATTCCACTTTAAATAACCCCCACCTGTAACAGCCTAGGAAATGGCTGCTGGCAGCTTTCTTCCTCCCTTCAGATAGCAACAGAAATGGTGAAATACCACTATGGGCCAAGGTGGTGTTTAGCTTCAACAAATTTGCAATACTTCTCTGCTTCAGCAAGCTTCTTAACTAACAAGTTGTAGCATCATTTGGCCTTTGAGGAACTGGTCAGGAGAGGATTAGTATGTGGAGGAAAGACTGAGAATGTCTAGTACAGGTCACACTATAGAGAACATTTGGAAATTCTGTGTTATTAATCGTGCTGAAATAAAAAAAGCAGATGCAAATAAATACATGTAAACTTGCAAGTGATAAAGTTCCTAGAGGAACTCCTACCTCCAGCAATTTATTCTCTCTGAAGGCCTCAGAGCTCAATTCTACTTTATAACTTAGGTCTTGCTTGCTTTTATCCAGGTCTCCACAATTTGGCATAAAAACACAATCAGATAATGCTGATGTTTGCTATTGATTCCTCACTATAAATTGGGGCTTTCTAGGGTGGCTGGGTTAAGAAAAAGCAACTGCTGTATAAGATGCAATCAGATTTGCTGTACAAAAATAATTAAAAATGTCCCTGTGGTTAAAGACAGGATATTGCCTCCTACCACTCTCCCCTGTAAACTTCCTGGCAGAACTTGGGGTGAGCTAGGATTTTTTTTTTTTTTTTTTCCAGATACATTTCCTGGCTTACTGTTTCTCAGTCTGTGTCAGAAGAAGGATGAAATGAAAATGTCTGACTGATGTCGGTTACTTCGTTTTCAGCTGAACCGAGTAACAACAAAATAAATACTTTGGGGTTTTGTCCCTTTCATCTTATAGGGACCTGGCAGTTAAACTGCTTATTAGCATGGGAAAACACTTCCTTGAGTCTTTATGTGTGGCCATGAACTAAGAGGTCGTGGTGGTTCAGGAATAATCTATTTATAAGAATTTGCACTCTAGACCTGTCGTATGTTGCATCATATCAAACCAGTATTTGCTGGCTGTCACTGTTTCCAACCAATTTCAATTCAGATGCACTCACTCTGAAGGAGATTTAAAGCCTCACCAGAAGCTTATAGATATCTTCCCATCATCAACAGTTAAGTTCATTGGATTGGTGTTCGTACCACTTGGCACTGGTATATTGCAAAAGCTACCGAGCTTCTACCTCACACTATATTCTGTTTATGTGATAACAGCCATTTTCTAGTGACCTCATTATTATTTGTTTCCTGGGGTCCTCCTCCCTCAGTTAGTTAGTTAACTTTTCAACCTCTTCACACTTTTTTTGCTTGTTAGCTTCCAGTTGCATACCATTGTTTGTTGTTGTAATTCTTGAGTGCAGTATGTGTAATTAAGGCCTCCTGTGACCAAAACTAGCAGAAAGAACCAGGAATGTTCATTACTATCACTACCACGGGGCAAGGTCTTTCAAGAAGGTGGCTGAGGTACTACCAACAGAAAACAAGATTTCTAGCCTTTTTAAAGAGTCAGACAGTCCCTTTATCTTCATTCTGAAAAATACGAGACCAGGAAAATCAATGTGCAAAATTAAGCATTCTGCTGAGCAGCTTTTCTTAAGCATTACACTTTTCATTGACCTTTTCAGTCACATCAGTGTAAACCCTTTTTGATTATACGTGAAACAAAGCTTCAGAATGTGTAATTTACCTGTCTTTTCTCCCAAAGCTTCCAAAAATATTTTTACTTTCACCCAAACCAAATTTATTTTCTTAGTAATCACAGAAGAATTCCTGTAAAAACTAGTATTTTCTCTCTTGGAAAGCTGGTATAGTTCCAGTGATACAACTAAAATCCTTAGAAATATGCAAATCGTCTTGAACCATAACTGGTTTTGAGCTCACATGCATATACTCTTTCACTATTTTTTATGCATCTCCTGCAGAACAGTGATAGTAAGTGGCTGAATCTATAATTTTTCTCTCTGAAGTGGTACTGAATCATTTCCATTTCTCAGATCTTTAAAATACTTCTGTGCAGAAAAAAATGTTTCCCTTGTTGCTGTCATCAACAAGAGATACAGCACAATGCCAGGGAAGTAACTTGACCATGGCATATCAACAGCTGGAGAGAGCACTGCTGAGGAATCACACTTGGTAAATTTGCCATTAGTTCACACTGTCACTTAAAAAACAGTTAACAGTCCAAAGTAGCATGACATCTGATGATAACATGCGAGTCATAATATAATAGTAGTAACATGCTGTATCTTAACCCATTATCTCAACCTTCAGAACTGCTGTCACTACAACAATATGCATTTGATGACACTATCCTCACAGAGACACCAGCGAATCTCGCTGAGTTGCACTGCCATAAGAAACATGCAGCAGACAAGAAGCAGTGGAAGCAGCGAGCGTCTATTATTTTTCTCCTAAGGATGATCTAAATTCTTTCAAAGGTTTTCACTCACCCATCATTATAAGAAGCTAGACTGTACTATGAATGGATCAAAGCAGTATGCAATGTTTCTTTTGTGCGATATCTTCCTTTGACTTCAAGTCCCAGCCTGTTTCCCTGCTGATGCCTAGTAGATGCTTTGTAATCAACCTGCTACCTACAGCCAATCACCTATCTGTTTACAAACTTCTGTGCAGCTTATATGTTTACTTACATGCATATATATGCCTGTATGATAAGTATTTTTAATACTCTTGAAATTTTAGATATGTTAAATCAAAGACAAAGTACTAGTAACCAAAGAAAAAATTACTTTTTCCTCACATTTTAGATGCTGCAGGTAAAATTACATTCTGATTAACCATACTATACTAAACATTATGTTTTTATTAACCATTCTATACTAATATATAAGTGAATAAGGGAAAGGCTCTTCTAAAGCAATCAAATTCCTTTAAATGTTCAAAGCATCTTTTCCTTTAAATATGAATTCAGTAGTTTGGAAAAATATTAATATGTAAATATCAAGTATTGATAAGTCTGACAATTAAGGACTTATCCTTCCTTTAGTCTAAGAAACAATGATGTGATAGAAAATATATCACTGAAACAAACTGACTCAAGCCAACTCTCATACAAAAAAAGATATTCCTGAAACACAAGCCATTACTACTTACATAGCAATAAGAAAAGAGGACTGGGCAGGACAGTTTGAAAGCCAGCGTAACACTAATGAAGACATGCTGATCTTTATCAGCTGAGCCAACATCTCCTGCACAGGAGTGGGAAACCACCAACAGAAAAGGGAATATCGTTCTCCAACACTATTTATGGTTCCTGATGAAGTCAGTAAATGCAGAAATCTATTATGCTGGGTTATTACAGTGCAACATCTGAGACACTTCATAGAGTCTGACATGGCATCAATTACCTTCAACAGTTCAATGAAGCTGTAAAGTGAATGGTAGTTTCCATCATTTACAAGCTGGAGAAGTTACTTGATTGATGAGGTCAGAAAAGGATTTGCAAACATGTTCAGCTGTAGAGAAGAACTCCTGCTGCAAAGCCGACTGTTGAGCTGAAAAGTAGAACAGATTTTAAGTGTTTCAGAGCACTAGATGCTGCCAAAGCCCTGAAAAGCTCTTTATAAATCTCTAATTTAAGATAACTCTATCAAAACAGCAGCTTTTTCCATCATTTTCCTTATTACATCCTCATTATCAAAAGTGAGGCATCCTGAGTGTTGAACAAAGCTCTGCTGAGTAAGACAATTGCTTACAAAGGGATTTTGTACTGCTGGAGTCTGCCTGGGACTAGAGTCATAGTTATAGTGTCATAGAAATGGCAACAGAAAAGGCCTCCAGTGCCATCATCAGTATAAACTTGATCTGTAATTGACGGCTGAGACTGATTTAAGTGCTTTGACTCATCCTGTTTCAAATTAGTCCAACTTTAGGGGCTCTGTTCCACCTTACAGGAATATGTTCTGCCTTACAGTATAGAGCTGGACGACAATGGCAAAGGCAAGATTCTGAGTTTCCTCCAAGGGTTAAATTATTAGGACCAATGTTTAGAGTAAACTGGACGAAGGTGAGAAGACAGTGTCAAGATAACTGGGAGAACTTGTACCTAGTTGGGCTTGCAGAGACAATGCATCCTTCAGTTCCATCACTAGCTGCTGCAGTTCCACTTCCTCACTGACTTCCTTCTCATTAGGTGGTACCTGCACTGCAGAGGGAGTAAGAACTCTATTCCTCGTGATGCCACTGAGGGAGTTTTCTGTCAATTCAGGCAGGTATCTTTGATTGTTGTTTGGTTTTTTATACTGTTCCATCAATGGTTTGTTGCTCTGCAGGGACACTGACTCCAGCGGGTCTTCTGAGAACATAATGTTTGTTGCAGCAGGAACCTCAGGTGTCTGTAAAAGCTGCATTCTATTGGCAGGGTTGGGGGGATTCAAAGATTTCCAATCTGCACATGTTCTGGAAGTAGGCGTTATTTGGGCAGGATTTAATCCACCCTGCATTCTCCTTTCCAGCAGGACATGTAGATTTCTTGGCATCGAGTTCTGACACAGGGCAAAAGGATGCTCTGATGACTGTAACATTGTCTACAACAGACAAAACACAGAAAATACATTTGAAAAGAAATGATTTTTTGGTTTGCTGGTAGTACTAAAATAGGTAGGAAAATAATTTCGAGTCAGAATACTTTTTTTTTTTTTTTTTAATTTCTGGTAAAATAAACCAACTCTTTTCAGAAATAAAATCTTTTCCTGCAATAAAATACAACTTTGTGTTTGAGTTTGGACAAATCTATACGGCCATTTTTCCCACAATTCCAATCTGAATACATTATAGGCGTTAATGACATTGAAAAGTGGGAATAATGTTCCAGGAGAAAATCTGCAGGAAAATTGTTCTAAAATAATTAAACTAAGGGAAAAATATATGTGTATATTAAACACATATCAAATGCCTCACACCTGTTAGCATTTGAAATTCCAGAACTAGGTCGGTTGTCAGTGTCACAATTGTACTTGGAATTTTCTAGTTGCATGAATGCTGAGTCTGATGTAACTGGGATGTGCTGAGTCTGATGTAACTGGGATGCGCTGAGCTGACTGTGCATACACTGGAGTCTCAACTGCTGCGTGTGTGCAGCCAATCCTGCATGTTGTGGACAGGCCAGTGTCACGGCATACACACAGGACTGTGTGACATGCCAGGCCCTACTGGACTTCATGTGCAAGTGATATAAAGCTGACCAAGTGTGCACCTTTCTCTATGTTTGATCATCCCTGAAAAACAGTCCAAAAACTGTATTGCAGAAAATGCTACAAAAATGCTGTAGGTCACAAATATGTGTGCATCCCTTGTGAAACAAGAACCTTTTTAGAACCTCAGAGATACTTCAAATGAAAAAGAGTTAATACAATTGAAAAGAAATATTTTCTGTAAGAGGTCCATATTAGATCCCAGTACAAGACAGCAATTAGGAATAACAAAAGGGTATTTTTATTTATTCAGTGGCCACACAGGATTCCTCTCTAACGAAAAGACTGCAGTGAAGTATGTAACACTTCTGTTGGAAACCATTTTCTCAGTCTTACTGGAATACTCCCTCATTATTTTCACTGCGGTAGTGTCTTAAACATCTCAGGCATGGATATCTGTGCTAGATGTTAAATATACACAGAATGACAAGAAAATTCCTGCAAAGAGTCTATCTGCTTTTTCTGAAGAACCTAAGATGACAGAGCAGACAAGCGGAAGGTTCACAAAATAGTATCAAGAGTGCTGGTTGGCAGGAAAAGTAGTAGTTAGTGTTCAGTAATTGCCCATAGCTGTGAAGATTCTTGGTATATTTATCGCTGTACCTTTAATTCTTGCTTCATTCGCTGCAGCTTCATTTGCAGGTTTTCATGGCTTGTGCTCAGGCTTTGGAGCTTTGCCTCTATTTTGTAGCTTTTGTCTTCCTGACAGTTGTGAAGAAATTTCATTTTGTCCTTCCATTTGCTGAACTGCTTCTTCATGTACCTGCCAGGGACACAGGAGGACGGAAATTTTTCTAGATCACACACACAAATAAGGCCTTTGACACCATTTCCCACAGCATTCTTCTGGCGAAACTGGCTGCCTAAGGCTTGGATGGGCACTCGCTTCACTGGTTAAAAAACTGGCTGGCTGGAAGGGCCCAAAGAGTGGTGGTGAACGGAGTTAGATCTTGATTGGTGGCCGATCATGAGTGGTGTTCCCCAGGGATGGGTGTTGGGGCCACTCCTGTTTAACATCTTTATTGATGATCTAGACGAGGGGATCGAGTGCACCCTCAGTCAGTTTGCAGATGACACCCAGTTGGGTGGGAGTGTTGATCTGCTCAAGGGTAGGGAGGCTGCAGAGAGACCTGGACAGGCTGGAGCCATGGGCTGAGCCCAACTGGGGGAGTTTCACTGAGGCCAAATGCCGGGGGCTGCCCTTGGGCCACAACAACCCCCAGCAGCGCTACAGGCTTGGGGAGGAGTGGCTGGAGAGCTGCCAGTCAGAGAGGGACTGGGGGGGTGATTGACAGCCAGCTGTACAGGAGCCAGCAGTGTGCCAAGGGGGCCAAGAAAGCCAGTGGCATCCTGGCTTGTGTCAGCACTAGTGTGGCCAGCAGGGACAGGGAAGGGATCTTACCCCTGTGCTCAGCACTGGTGAGGCTGCCCCTCGATTCCTGTGTTCAGTTTTGGGCCCCTCACTATAAAAAGGACATTGAGTGACTCGAGCGTGTCCAGAGAAGGGCAACGGAGCTGGTGCAGGGCCTGGAGCACAGGTCTGCTGGGGAGCGGCTGAGGGAAATGGGGGGGATTAGTCTGGAGAAGAACAGGCTGAGGGGAGACCTCATCGCCCTCTACAGCTCCCTGAAAGGAGGGTGCAGAGAGGGGGGATGAGTCTCTTTAGCCTAGTAGAAAGCGAAAGGACAAGAGGTAATGGCCTCAAGTTGTGCCAGGGAAGGTTTAGACTGGATATTAGGAAGCATTTCTTTACAGAATGGGTTGATGGGCATTGGAATGGGCTGCCCAGGGAGGTGGTTGAGTCCCCATCCATGGAGGTGTTTAAGAGTCGGGTTGACATAGTGTTTAGGGATCTGGTGTAGTTGGGAACTGTAATGGTTGGACTGGATGATCTTCAGGGTCTTTTCCAACCTAGATGATTCTGTGATTCTGTGAAATATATGCAGTCACAGAAAAGAGCAAATACTGTAGCACAAACTTTCTCCTCTTTGTCAGTTCAGGAAATTTTTGTCTGTTTTGGGGTTAGAACCCAGTGTTTCAGGAACTGGGCTGTATCCATGGAATTAGCAAGAACAGAAGTTCTAGATTAGGAAAGATGTGAGCTGAGTAGAACTGTGGCCAGGACTGAGTCTTGCATCTTGGGGTTTACCTTTCCCACAAAGGTGGCTGCAACAGGAGCGACATTACAGCAGTCCCTCTGTCTAGAAGCAAACTACTTATGGCAACTCCCTGACCTGCAAAGGATTCTCATCATTTCCCCCTGGGCAACAAAGGAGTAAAAGCAGCCTCTACCCCTCTGATTGAGTTCCTTCTTGCTCCCTTGCAAGCAGCTTGTTTGATGATACCAATAGTATCTGCACAGGCCACTTGTCCTTGAAAAGATACTGTCATTTTTGTGATGAGAAGTGCCAACCTCCCATGCACACCAGAGATTTAGAAATTGCCTACTCAGAGCAAAGTATGACAAAAGTACCGCCCATATCTCTGTTCTAGAGCTGGGATTTCTCTAAGAAGTCAGGGTAGAAACACAGTTTTGTCTTCCTCATGGCTGAGGTAGAGACAGACATAAAAGCTTGTTAACACTCCAGTAATAAACCTGCTGCTTCATACCACACAGATTAAATAGTTATCTCCCTTGCTTAGGTACATCCATAAATTCATCTGATTCATGTTCTTTTGGGTAGGCATTGGCTCACGGACAAGAGCCCCATCAGTTTTACTGGAATTATGTAAGATTTGTCCGAATGGGACAGCAAGTCAGACCACTTAAAGTTAAAAATTTATATTACAGGGGTTCCTTGTAACAGCATTTAATGGGTCTTTACTGTAAAATGCTGACTACCTTCAACTAAGAGCCTGGTTCTGTGAACAGTGACATAAATGCTGAAAGTTGGTCCACAAATAAGAAAAAAATGTTTCCTATGAGTAATGTGATTCATTCACCCAGTTATATGATAAGCTCTGGGTCAGAGGGTGATGCAGTATTTCAGAGCAGGCTTCCCAGATATCCTCTCAACTATTGCTCATCTAAACAAAAGCTGAAGATTTTTGCCGTATCTTTTTATTTCCTCTGTGAGAACAGAGAGTGAGGTAAGGACACACACACAATGGAACTGCAATTGTTTTGCTTTAGTCTTGGAGTGTCCTTGTGAGAATTTGGAACAGCAATTGTACGTTGACATATTAGAATGAAACAAAACAGGAACAGAGGGAACTGAACATATAGAAGCAAATAAAGAGAGTAGATTCAGGATAAAATTCTACTCTTCATGGTCATCCCATTGGTTTCAGTGGTCACAGACATGATTACATCTACAGCACATTCATATATAACTACAAAAGTGGAGGAGGGGGAAAGCAAAAGTGAAAGAGACCTGGACAGGCTGGAGCCATGGGCTGAGGCCAACTGGGGGAGTTTCACTGAGGCCAAATGCCGGGGGCTGCTCTTGGGCCACAACAACCCCCAGCAGCGCTACAGGCTTGGGGAGGAGTGGCTGGAGAGCTGCCAGTCAGAGAGGGACTGGGGGGGTGATTGACAGCCAGCTGTACAGGAGCCAGCAGTGTGCCAAGGGGGCCAAGAAAGCCAGTGGCATCCTGGCTTGTGTCAGCACTAGTGTGGCCAGCAGGGACAGGGAAGGGATCTTACCCCTGTGCTCAGCACTGGTGAGGCTGCCCCTCGATTCCTGTGTTCAGTTTTGGGCCCCTCACTATAAAAAGGACATTGAGTGACTCGAGCGTGTCCAGAGAAGGGCAACGGAGCTGGTGCAGGGCCTGGAGCACAGGTCTGCTGGGGAGCGGCTGAGGGAAATGGGGGGGATTAGTCTGGAGAAGAACAGGCTGAGGGGAGACCTCATCGCCCTCTACAGCTCCCTGAAAGGAGGGTGCAGAGAGGGGGGATGAGTCTCTTTAGCCTAGTAGAAAGCGAAAGGACAAGAGGTAATGGCCTCAAGTTGTGCCAGGGAAGGTTTAGACTGGATATTAGGAAGCATTTCTTTACAGAATGGGTTGATGGGCATTGGAATGGGCTGCCCAGGGAGGTGGTTGAGTCCCCATCCATGGAGGTGTTTAAGAGTCGGGTTGACATAGTGTTTAGGGATCTGGTGTAGTTGGGAACTGTAATGGTTGGACTGGATGATCTTCAGGGTCTTTTCCAACCTAGATGATTCTGTGATTCTGTGAAATATATGCAGTCACAGAAAAGAGCAAATACTGTAGCACAAACTTTCTCCTCTTTGTCAGTTCAGGAAATTTTTGTCTGTTTTGGGGTTAGAACCCAGTGTTTCAGGAACTGGGCTGTATCCATGGAATTAGCAAGAACAGAAGTTCTAGATTAGGAAAGATGTGAGCTGAGTAGAACTGTGGCCAGGACTGAGTCTTGCATCTTGGGGTTTACCTTTCCCACAAAGGTGGCTGCAACAGGAGCGACATTACAGCAGTCCCTCTGTCTAGAAGCAAACTACTTATGGCAACTCCCTGACCTGCAAAGGATTCTCATCATTTCCCCCTGGGCAACAAAGGAGTAAAAGCAGCCTCTACCCCTCTGATTGAGTTCCTTCTTGCTCCCTTGCAAGCAGCTTGTTTGATGATACCAATAGTATCTGCACAGGCCACTTGTCCTTGAAAAGATACTGTCATTTTTGTGATGAGAAGTGCCAACCTCCCATGCACACCAGAGATTTAGAAATTGCCTACTCAGAGCAAAGTATGACAAAAGTACCGCCCATATCTCTGTTCTAGAGCTGGGATTTCTCTAAGAAGTCAGGGTAGAAACACAGTTTTGTCTTCCTCATGGCTGAGGTAGAGACAGACATAAAAGCTTGTTAACACTCCAGTAATAAACCTGCTGCTTCATACCACACAGATTAAATAGTTATCTCCCTTGCTTAGGTACATCCATAAATTCATCTGATTCATGTTCTTTTGGGTAGGCATTGGCTCACGGACAAGAGCCCCATCAGTTTTACTGGAATTATGTAAGATTTGTCCGAATGGGACAGCAAGTCAGACCACTTAAAGTTAAAAATTTATATTACAGGGGTTCCTTGTAACAGCATTTAATGGGTCTTTACTGTAAAATGCTGACTACCTTCAACTAAGAGCCTGGTTCTGTGAACAGTGACATAAATGCTGAAAGTTGGTCCACAAATAAGAAAAAAATGTTTCCTATGAGTAATGTGATTCATTCACCCAGTTATATGATAAGCTCTGGGTCAGAGGGTGATGCAGTATTTCAGAGCAGGCTTCCCAGATATCCTCTCAACTATTGCTCATCTAAACAAAAGCTGAAGATTTTTGCCGTATCTTTTTATTTCCTCTGTGAGAACAGAGAGTGAGGTAAGGACACACACACAATGGAACTGCAATTGTTTTGCTTTAGTCTTGGAGTGTCCTTGTGAGAATTTGGAACAGCAATTGTACGTTGACATATTAGAATGAAACAAAACAGGAACAGAGGGAACTGAACATATAGAAGCAAATAAAGAGAGTAGATTCAGGATAAAATTCTACTCTTCATGGTCATCCCATTGGTTTCAGTGGTCACAGACATGATTACATCTACAGCACATTCATATATAACTACAAAAGTGGAGGAGGGGGAAAGCAAAAGTGAAAGAGACCTGGACAGGCTGGAGCCATGGGCTGAGGCCAACTGGGGGAGTTTCACTGAGGCCAAATGCCGGGGGCTGCTCTTGGGCCACAACAACCCCCAGCAGCGCTACAGGCTTGGGGAGGAGTGGCTGGAGAGCTGCCAGTCAGAGAGGGACTGGGGGGGTGATTGATAGCCGGCTGAACAGGAGCCAGCAGTGTGCCCAGGGGGCCAAGAAGGCCAATGGCATCCTGGCTTGTGTCAGCAATAGTGTGGCCAGCAGGGACAGGGAAGGGATCTGAGCCTTGTGCTCAGCACTTGTGAGGCCGCCCCTCGATTCCTGTGTTCAGTTTTGGGCACCTCACGACAAAAAGGACATTGAATGACTCAAGCGTGTCCAGAGAAGGGCAACGGAGCTGGTGCAGGGCCTGGAGCACAGGTCTGCTGGGGAGCGGCTGAGGGAACTGGGGGGGTATAGTCTGGAGAAGAGGAGGCTGAGGGGAGACCTCATTGCCCTCTACAGCTACCTGAAAGGAGGGTGCAGAGAGCTGGGGATGAGTCTCTTTAACCAAGTAGTAAGCAATAGGACAAGAGGGAATGGCCTCAAGTTGTGCCAGGGAAGGTTTAGATTGGACATTAGGAATCATTTCTTTCCAGAAGGAGTTGTTGGGCATTGGAATGGGCTGCCCAGGGAGGTGGTGGAGTCCCCATCCCTGGAGGTGTTTAAGAGTTGGGTTGACATAGCGCTGAGGGATCTGGTGTAGTTGAGAATGGTTATTGTTAGGTTAATGGTTGGACTGGATGTTCTTCAAGGTCTTTTCCAACCTAGGCGATTCTGTGATTCTGTGAAAAATGTAAGTATGGCTGCCCATACACCAACACTCCACCCCCCACCCCCCTGCAACAAACCAACCAAGAAATTTGTAGTTTAGGAATTAATATTTTATCATGTCAAAGGTTTGAATATCAAAAGGGACTTCTCTGATAATCTAAGTCACGTAAGTTTTACCAATTTTTACTGCATTAAGCCTGTAATCTCTATTTGATTTAGGGCATATTTTTTAGAAAAAATATCCTACTTCAATTTCAAAACAATGAAATTTGTTTTGATTAAGACTTACTCAGAGAAAAATTTGAAAAAAGTATGCTATTCTGATATTTTTATGTGAATGAATATTTTTCCCTTAAAAATTAATTTTAGAAATGTAAACTAACAATTGCAGAAATGCTGATGAAAGAAAACCAAAATGTTTTGCTTTACCAGAAATTGTTTTCCCAGTGATGTTCTATTTACAATTTTTGTTGCTGAGTTTTTATCATTCATCTCCATCTTTTTTAAATCTCAAAATCTCTACGGAAAAATAATGTCTTCTAGCTCTTCAGTAGAGCAGCATTGCCCACCAGTCTTTAGTCATTGTACTACCGCATTTACCTACCTGCTCTCATTGTGAATGCTTTTGACGTATTCATGCATTTTTAACATATCGGCTTCAAAAGAGGCTATTGCCTATAATAAAAAAGAGAAAAGTATCTGTTCTTGACTTTATCAGCAGTAACATTTCATTTTTAATGCAAATTTTTCTGTAAGAAGGCATAGCAAATTTGGGATTTGGCCTATTTTACAGATTTATTAATTAACTTTTTTATTTAGCTGACAGCAATCAACTGGTGCACTAAAGTATCTCTAATGGCTATTAGAATGGACTGCAAAATTTAACTCTATAGAATAAATTCTTTGTCCCAGGACTAATTGTAAGTGTATGAGAACTTGTTTTGGTTTAAATTAGAACAAAAATCTAATTCCCTGGAATTTCTGCAAAATGGAATATTCTGATTTGGGAATAGTCTCTCACAAGTCCCACAGCTGCTTTGGGTCTTGTAGGTGGAGGGAGAGAGGGAAGGGAAGGGAAGGGAAGGGAAGGGAAGGGAAACCCCTGGTCTTTGGATGGAAGTAGCAGTTTCTGGGCCATGCAGGGGACAGTAGCCCAGAAGTCAGGGAGACAAACCCTTTCTAGGTAAACTGCTTATAGTCATGGTATAAACTGGGCTGGAATCAGGGCTGCCAGGAAATGATGAGACTAAGAGCTGCATCCCCAGGTCCTCTAAGCTCATGGATTCTATTAAAAGCTATAGCTCATGGATTCTATTAAAAGCTATCTTTGGACTTACAGTCTGCACCTTTTAAGCAACATTGAAATAATCTGTACTATAAGGTGTTGGAAATCAGTATAAAACTGCTCAAAAAGAATTCTCAGCTCAGAGAGAAAATGAACAAGAGAGCAATGCATGTGGCAGAGTCCCACTACAGGGATGCAAGTCCCATCCTGCTGTCTTCTAAAATGACAAATGCCAGCCATCAAAATTATATGCTTAAGCACTGTCTGTCCACAACTTCTGCAGATATGCGCTGGCTGGCGCTATTCCTTGAGCTGGGCAGCAGAGTCCAAAAAGACAGGTCTTCCAAAGGGCAGCACAGGAGTAGCAGCCAGAGGAGTGACCTGACACACAGAGGCTAGTTCTCACTAGTTACTGCACCCTTGGCTTCTAGGAAGAACAAGATGAGTGGATGACACAAACTGGCTTGAACACAACCCAGTGTTCCCTATATTCCGAGTATGTGCAGAGGTACCAACCTCTCAAATAAATATAGAAGCAAAAAACTGCTATGTACTTATTTTTATCTACACTGTCCTACCCACTCCCCTAGCATTGTTTCTATGCAGGGAACCTGGAAATGGGTTAGTGGAGAGCTTTTATGCATGAGCTATTTTAGTTGGAGTGGACACTACTCTGGGTTTATCCTTAAGAAGGGCCTATTCTGTCCTCTTTCTATTGCCATGGAGACAAAAATGGTCTGAGCCTAATAAGAATTGAGGCATCCTTCCTTGACATTTGCTTGTAGTAGGAGGACATGATGGCAATTTTTGCTGTCAGAATAGAGAGAGGACTCCGGTCTCAGCCAGTCTTCAATGTGCTACTCTAAGACAACTTTAAAAGGAAAAATCCCAGCAGAGCAAATATTCTTATAAATGCTTCTGAAGGTCATGGCAGTCAAGCAGTCAGTCACTAATCTTGGGAGGGTATAAAATTCAAGCTTCACTAAGTTTTCAGATTCCACATTTTTTTCCGTAAGTGAGAAATTAACAGAAAGTTGAAGCTGCCCACTACGTTTATTTTTCATTGGTAATTAGAAGACAATTCGGTAGTTAACTTGGTAGGTCTTCTTCACAGCTTTAGCACTATTACAGCTTCATATTTTGCTCACCTGAGCTTTTGTCTTGCCTTGCTGTGGTGTCTTGCTGTTATTCTCACTCTTCTGCATTACGGTTCTGGTTTTAGATATGAACCTGGGTGATTCCAGGACCAGTCTGTCCACTGGGAAAGGCAGGTTTTCAGGGCCAGGTAGTGGTGAAGCATTGAGATCTGCAGGGGGACTGCATATCAACAGAGAAATAAGAGAAAGGATAAGTCCTTATATGGTTTCGGTACCTAAAAAGATCAAAATAAAACAAATGCACGGTAAGTAGACGGACAGCTGTGCTGTTGACTAATCAAGAAACATGGTTTAGCTGTGCCTGCTGGCATACTTCGGCTGAAAGAATGAAGTTCCTGAAAACTCAGCAGAATCTCAACAACAGGTTCTTCTTTCCACTCATTACTAAATGAGTGTATCAGTGCGATTTGCTGCTTCTCTTTTTTGCTTCCTTTAGCCAAGTGATGTATATATTGGGAAATTCGACTACAAAAAGATAGCAAAGGGATATCCTGCTGTTCAGTCCCTTCTATGCTAGGAAAAGCCCAGATACCTCTCAGCCGCACCGCGACACCTGTAATGGCAGCCCCAAATTCTCCCTTTTCTCACTGCTAGCCAGGCGTTAGGTAGGCAAGACACCACAGAATTACAGGGAAAACTTGATTGCTTACAGAAGAATTAAATTACATTCAAAATGAAATATTTTTTGTTGCTGAATACAAGTGGGGAAATATTAGCAATGGAAAATGGTTTGCATTTCACCACATTCGAAAAAACAAATACTTAAATAATATTCTCCATCAGAATCACTGTAACTCTCATCCATTTGTATTACTGTATATAAAAAAATTGGGTTTTAATAGCAATGTACTTGCCTAGCAGTGTAGCACAATCAAGTTTTATAGAATTTTCTCCTCTGGCACAAGGATGAAATTAATTCTTTTAGAGAGGAGTGACCTTTTTTTCCCTATTTCAGTCTCACTGAAGCCTCATTTGGAGAAAACATGTGAGATGCGAGAGAGTTGTTTGGGTTTTATACAGTCAGGAAGGAATCTCACCCTTTGTATGTTTGTGCTTATCTTGTAGAAACTGAAGGGAATGATTATACAACTAAGTATCAATCAAAATCTCAGGGCAAGGAAGGAGAAACTATAGGGAAAACCACAACATGACCTCCAATGCTCAGTATTAACCACTGTGATCAGTGGCAATACAGTAACGAATTTACACATTAGTTAAAAGCACACAAACCAGAACTGATCAGTGAGATCAGGTACTCACTATTGTGAGTAATCCCACAGGGCTGCAATTCAGTGGGACATGAGTAGAATGACTGTCAGTGGGTCAAATGTGGAAAGTATTCACAGTTAATTTCCAGTGAATTTGTTGCAGACGAGGTGCTTAAATACCCATGCAGTTCTGACAGGTACTAAATATTTGCAATGGTTGACCCTAGGCTGATCACAAGAAATGGCATGGAGAGAAAGAGATGACATAAGGAAGGAGGGAAGGAAGACACAAGCATGTTATATTTTTATAAGACAACTGGTCATTAGGTTGTCAGCATGGTAATCATGGTTAAGCTACCGAACAATGTGCAGCAACTTCCCATTTATGCTCTCCCTTTTTAATGGAAAAATCATGACATGGTATCTGTCATAACAAAGTCACTTAGTCAAAGGACATAATCAAGCAATATCCCACAGCCTGACATATTATTCAGAGATTATAAACTCATTTGAAACAGAAACTCACAAAATCTTTTTGTGAGTAGAGAAGTGCCGCTCCTCCACTGCCTCCAGAGCCCTCCTTCTCTGCGCCTCTTTTCTTCTGCAGCGCTCTTGAAACAAGTTGTTCCTGATGGTGTGGAGAAAGTGCTTTGCATTCGCCTTTGCTGACATCTATTGGAATGAGGCATAATAAAGAAGGGAGTAAACTTTCAAAGGGATGCTGCCCAGAAGTAGACACAGTCCAAGGCAAAGGCAAGACTTAAGAATGCAAAGGTCCGCCTGTCCAACAAGTGAAGAAGCTCATGGCTGCTGTCTGAGCCCTAGAAGGGAAGCTGAAGTGGATGACGATGCAGGACCATGGGCAAGAGCGGTTCTAATCCTGTCAGGTAAGCAAAGCATTCTGCCTGAGCCAAATTCAGGCAGTCTGGAAATGCCTGGTGCAGGATTTTGGCAGTTACAGTCATTAAGCTCACAGTCACAACAATATGTCTGCCCAGCTAGTATCTGCGTTCCCTCTTGATCAATGAGAAGTACTTTTATACTCGTATGAAGTGTTAAGAGATACAGCCTTCTGTGCCTCATGTCCTTCTCTCATACAATACAGTAAAAACCGCATTTCCATTTGTCCTGGCAGGGTCAGGCTCAGTACAACAACTAAGCTCAGCAGGTGTATTATAGGAGGACACAAACCAATTCTGCCCCAGGAAGTAACAGCTGCAGAACATGGGGTGAGCCCCGGCAGACTCAACGGGAAAACACAAAGAAAACATACAGCATGCCTCCCAGTCATTTCTCAACATGGGGATAACGTTGCCACAAGGTGTCAGTACGGTAAGGAAAAACTGCTGATATTTCAAATCCCCATTCAGCAGCCCATTCCCCGATAACGACAATGTGAAAACTTTCCCAGCCAAGGACAGCATCTACTAAGAGTGGAAGGTATGTGAAAATAGCTTACTACTGATTCTTTCATGTCCCACACAAAGGATATAAAAATGGTATCTCTCATAGTGAGTAGCTTATCTTTTAAATTTTGGTATAGATTTTGGCCATGAAAATTTACAGGGTTAGTGTTAGAGTAGGGCTTCATAAAGGAAACTTAAGTTCAATGATCCAGTTGCAATATTGCAGCAACAGTGTGAGAAAGCTCAATGTCTGACAGTATAGGAGAGGAAGGGGACTTAATTTTAAAACAAAACCGGTTTGACTCACTCATACTCACTCACAAGTACTAACATACAGGTGTCCAAGTAGTCTTTCCAGCATTCACATACCAAGGTGAATACCTATGGTACGTCCATGATGACTTACAGTGACATGGAGGACAAGAGATGCCAGTTCTCCTTAAGCCTCCTGGCTTCCTCTTAGTGTGACCATGGATGTGCTTTTTAGCTTAGTGTGACCATTTGGATGTGCTTTTAGCTCCTTTAGGAGCTGGCAGTGATCGTGATTGTTTGTCTCCATATTTAGGTGTCCTATAGGTATAGGTCTAGTTCTTTACCTTCACATCATCATTTCTTGTGATGGCAGTTTGTCCTTTGCTTCAGGCTCCTTTTTGTTTTCCTGATTTGGTTGTCCTGAGAAGCTGTATGTGGAAGTGCTGTGATACTGATGACCGGCTAATCTAGGTTGCATCACCTCCTGCTGTGTTATATCCCTCCTGCCGTTCCTTCTAGTGCTTCCACATCCACAGACTCCCATTCACTCTCCCGTCACACTGGTTTTAATGTCTCCATTAGAAATGTCTACATGAGGAGATAAGTTGCCATTTGTTTCTCCTGTTTTCTCACAGATGGAGGATGAGGAAGACTATTTGGAGGAATGAACATCTATCTGCTATTTTTAATGCAGATATTGAGCATCCAGGTACAGTTTCTCACAATGTTAGCAACAGGGTTTAGTTTTCAGAAAGAAAGCAATGAAGTGTCTACAGTTTTAAGTTCTCCCAGACAAAGAGTGACTGTAAGAGCAGTCTAACATTCTTTAGTTTTGGTGCAGACACTGGCTACCCAGATATCCTTTGTGTTAAGTGCAGGGTTTCAGGAGGGAGACCATGGAGCACAGCTTACTAGGGAAACTTTCATGAGTGCTTTTCAGCTCATTTACTGGAGCAGAAGGTGGTACTGTTATATATATCCACAAAAAACCTGTCTGCTGCTGTGTGCAAGATCTGGACTCTCCTGCTCAAAGGAGAAGCTGACCTTCCAAACACAAATTTCCCATGTTGAACTTCACCACTAGTGTGATGGAAGCACAAGTTGCCCCTGTAATGAGCCCAGGTAGGTGTGCTTAGTTGGACTTTTGCTGTCTCTTTGTGCTGCATCCCTGACAGAGACAAATGAGTCTACAATAAAGGTTTATAACGAAGTGGAAAAACTCTGAAAGAAAGGAAATTTCATGCAGGAGCTTGTATAACTTTAGGATTAATTAGTCTGAACTGGGATTGGGAGGAAGAAGCACTGGGACACACCGAGGACTCTTTCCACAGGTTTAAGTATGATCTGCAAATGACAAACTTGCCATAAAATGGCTTGGGAAGAGAACTTGCACTATGACATTTCATGGCTCTATTCAGCCATTTCAGAACAAAACACTCCTTCTAAAGTTAGAAGTCCCCTTTTTTCCTTTCCCTGACTCACTGTTCCCAGATTAATAATGCTAATATGTCAGGGCCATTATGGCTAATACACACGTAACGTCATACTCAATGTACTTCAAGAGTCTACTGCCTACTTGTCTACATGAAGAACCCAAATGGGGAAATGAATCAGTACAATGGGATTCTACCTGCACGCAGTGTTCCATAACAGGATGTGACCTCTTACGTGTTTGCTGAGATGGCCAGTGAAAATACAGACTTGGTCAAAATCGAGGCATTTCAGACAGCAATACCTGTAAGGGAAAACAGAAGAATTAAGTTGCCCACAAGTAAGAACTTGGTGTAAGTGAGCTTTATTACTGGAAATCCAGATTCCTGGGTTCTGAAATGCAGTGAAGCACCTTTGTTAGAATAATGACTTTCCTCAGCATTCTCTGAAAGCAAGAGTTATTTAGTCCAAATGACAGTGGCCAGAACCCACTAATGATTTTGATGTTATTTATTTGCTGCATCAAAATTCAGTCCAAGGAAGAAACTGTTGTTCTAGCACCATTTTTGAGAATGCAGTTACATCTTCATATGCTTCTTATGCACCAGCATATTTGCAGCTCTCATGGAACTGTAATATCACTACATTATTGATGTAAGATTTGCAACTTTGCAAATACCTAAAAATGCAATAAACTAAACCTGCAAGTTTGCTATTGCTGAGAAGACAGTAACAGTAGAATGCTTTTCTGAGCATTCTGGTCAGTAGGTAATGGATAGTGTTATTTTTATACTATTAGGCCATTTTATACCATTACTTAGATGAACAAGATGCTAGAATGGATAACCTAACTAGCCAGTTAATACACTTGATTATGGTACAAAGAACTAAGAAACGAGATACACAGGTTTAACTGGCTTTACCACTTACTGAATTGCCAGTTTACTTTCAGTAAGTCTCCATAATCATGTCTGTGCTGGTGAACTAAAGAGAAGCAGGTTGCAGGCTTAAGCACTAGCCTGTGATCATTCTCTCTCCCTATCTTACTTGTTAAATTAGATGATGTCCAGTGTTTGTTGCTTAATACAGCGGTTAGGGCCTGCAAAGTATGCAAATGATGGTAAGAACTACTTACGTGGATGCAATAGTCTACAAGTAATTGCTAATGCACCTGAGGCCTGTAATGGGGAAAATTTTGCAGACTCTACATCTAGCTTGGTGAGAAACCACTTCTGTGGCTGATAATCTGTAACACTGTAGGGAGCAACAAGAGAATAGCAGGCTCCAGTCTCAGCCAAGACAGGGATTTTTCTTCAGCAATTGCTGAGTTCAGAACATGGAAGTTCCAGTTCAGCCATTTACTTGAAAAGAACTGTTGTCTAATCTACAATTCCTAATGAAAGCTCTGATATTGGATGCTGCTAGCATAGATTTTCCATTAATGTAAACTCTTTCTGGGTTCCAAAGGTTTTGGAATAAATGCAAGAGTCTTCAGTAGTATCTTACTGAGCATCTTTTCTATAGATAAAAGTCCTCCTGTACTGTGAGACTCATGATCAGTCTGGCCCCTTAAAAGTAGATCCTGGTGGATCTATGATGATACATTTGCAATTTTAATCAACCAGCAACATTCAAAATCCTTTCCCAGGACATCAGAATTTCACTCACCCCATAGAAACAGCTGTGAGTCGCAATTTCCACACAAGACAGAGTGCAGCTTTCTCCCACAACAACTGGGATCTGTGTCAAGAAGGGCTCAGAAACACCTCAATAAAAAACAGATGTTCCCATCATGCTCTGCTGAGATGGTGACAGCACACAGATGGTGAAGCGTCTATAGAAATGCCATTTAAAATACTGTTCAGAAGAAAACCTGTTCATATTCATACCATCAGTATACAATTTCATAGTTCAGAATTATTTGCTTCCAGCTCGCTTACTGAAATGGATCAACATCCAGTGTTGCCATACTAGCGTACTGAAGGACGCTGGGTTTGAACCTCAGGGGTCGTCTTCAGATCCCATTTTCCGTGCCAGTTCAGCTGGAAATACCCGTATGCTACGGCATTTTTCTGCAATTGCATGCTATTCTAATGAGTACGGACGTTTGGAGTCGCTTTAGGAACAGCTGTATGTAGCTGTTCCCAGGACCCGTAAACTCAGGCAAAATGAATGCACAAGGGCACCGACGCAAGTGGTTACTGTAACTGAGAAAAGCTACAGAATTTGATGCTTTCGCCTACTTCGCATCATATCTCCCTATGTCCACAGCTTGTCCTATTGACTTCAGTCCCATAATAACATAAAATGTATCAACCATCTATTTTTTCTTCTAGATTAGTATGCTCCTACAAGATCTGTTGTGTAACCGTACTGCAGTACCTGATTTAAGTCTATTAGTAGGTTTCTCAGGGCACTACGGGTAATCAAGGCCACCTTCTCATCAGGGACAGCATAAAACTGGAAGAAGGCTGAAAACAATCAGAGGAAAGAAACTGGAATCCTGGCAGAGCCTGAGGTGTCTTCTAGCTACTTATTCTCAAACTATCCACATGATAATTGCAGCCTACCAAATAAACCCCTCAAGAAAGGTTCCCTTTATTTTCTACCTAACAGACACTTGGTGACTGCTGTGACAATACTTTCTTCCTGCAGGCAGGGTAAAGAGAAAAAAAGCAAGGAAATTATGGACATTCCTTATTCCTGGCAGTTAAGACAGGTAAGGATTAAGAAAACAATGAGCTCATTTTCATGGCTGTAAGAAAAACATTTAAATATGTTTATACAAGATATGGCCTATCTAAATTGTAAATTGTTAATTCCAAATTGTAATTTGAAAGGAAATACACAATATGCAGTGGGAGAGGATGAGGCCAATATGCCACCTGTGGTCTATTTGTTCTCCATTTTGAGCATTTAATTCAAGCAGCAATCTTTGTGCTGAACATTGCACCGAGCTACCTTTATCTGTTATACTTAGTTCTTTAAGCATTTTTGTCTAATGTTAAAAGGGCTCTAAAAGCTTCCTGGATCAAATACATAAAATTGTTTTCTAATCCAGTGAAATCTAAAACTAGGGGGTTTCTGTTCTTTTTTTGCTAGGCAAATAGAACTTGTCCTTCATTTGTAAGCTATTTATAAGCTATACTTACCTTAAAATTTACTATGACTTGTTCTGAGACTTTATGCAAAGATGGCTATGGACATTGAAGGAAAAGTATTTTTCTGCATTAGCCTTTCTCTAAAACAGTCAACATTATTTACTTTTTGCATGGCAGAACTGCATTCTCTTTGAAAGTAAAAAAAAAATCACAATATTTTTCTCAATGTTCAGTATTTCAGGCAGTGTATAAAATCATACATTTCTCACCTCTGTATTTAGCCAGTAGAGTGTCTCCTGAAAGGGCAATTAGGGCAGCTGCAGCAGATCTAGTTTTGATATAACCTGTTCCAGATCTAGACAAATAAAATAAGTTACCCTACATTTACTGAGAATGTAAAAACTGAAACCTCTAAAGAAAAAAATATCGCTATTTGGAAGACAACTTCAAAACACATATCCTTTTATATGTATAGAACTGCTGTTACATTTTAGTGACATTTTATGCCTAGGACCCTCTGTCACTGAACATAACTACAGAGTTAACAGTTCAAGATACCATGCAATCACAAAACGAAAAGACAGCACCTCCTTCAAAGACCTCACATCCCAAGTAAAATATAATCTTACATTTACAATGCATGTCCTAAAAAGTTATGTCCTTCATTTGTGGAAAGTCTTCCCAAATATGGAAGAGAAAGCAGGATTACAATCTGGTTTTTGTATTATATCATTAGGCAGCTTCACTGTGGTCCCAGATCTGCACTGAGCTTCTCTTGAGCTGATTGCTTTTAATTTCAATGCAACTCAGTTTAATCAAAAGGATATATGCAGGAGCGGGACTTTAGTTTTGACCATTAGATAATAACGTAGCTTAAATTAGAACCCAAGTTTGCGACATAGGCACCTAACGAAAAAAACGTTTCTTTATGTGAAGACAAAGCAGATGTGAATTGGAAACCATAAATCAGGAAATCCTGGGATTTCATATTTAAGGTATCACTTTTGCAAAGCAGTATTGCAGTTCAGAATATCATTACAAAAAACTGTCTTCAAGAGTCTTTAGAGAAACTACATTTTTACAGAACATACTGCATAAAGCTGCAATATAGTCCCCAAAGTATGAGCTGCATAGGAAATTGTTGGTCAAAAGTTTCTAGATTCTAAATTTATATATTCAGTTTTTCCAGAACTTTCATAGTAAAAAGTCCAACATTAAAGCTAAAGTTTACAATCAAAAACCCTTACGATGGTTTATGTAAGCTTATTAAGTAAGCTACCACACAAACATGGAAAACACGGAAAAGCCCTTGTGTGCTCTCATCCTGACATACATTCCAGTGGAGTACAGCACTCTATAGAAAAAAACATAACTAGAAGAAAATATAATAAGCTTTTTATGTCCTATATACATGTCAAGAAACTTGTGAATTTTTTTTTAAAAAGAAATTACAGTAGAAAGAAAATGATACGCTGTCCTAAGAAACCAGAAAAAAAGACTGAGATAGTCCTGCTAAGATGATCTGAATCATTTCCCTACAGTCCACACACTTTACAAAATACTCTACAAATTACAAAATGCTCTTGATGTTTCTAGCTTTGTTTATAATACACCAGTTTATTCTTAGCCTTAATTGATTCTTTTAAGTACAAAAAGTTTGTTACATGGGACTTTAAGCAGTAGTGATCATATTATTAATGAATAGTAATTCAGGAAAAAGTCCTGCAGACCACTTACATCTCACTCACTTTCAGTAAAAAAAACTTTCTGCTGATGTAGAAGGGAATAAATTTCACCTGCAGTGAATAAATTTTACAATGAATTTAGCCTTTGTCTTTTAAATCAAATACAATCACAAACCAATCCCGCTTTTACTGTATTAATTCATTATTCACAAACAGTACAAGAGAAAAGTACACTCTGTGAGCTGCTTCCTTACCATTCCCATAAACTATTTGCTGTTCACAGGACCTAGCTGATCACCCTAGTTATGAGACAGTAGTTTGGTTTCATAATTGGTTGATGAACTTTTTAAGCTGGAGAAAAAGGAATAATGAAAAGTGACTGGCAAATTCTTGACCCATGCATAGGTACTGTCATTCGAAGGCAAAGATGGATTCTTTTCCAGGAGTGTATCAAAACATCTTGGCAGTCAAAAGAAGAGCTACTCTTTGTAAAGCTGGTCATAGAAAATTTAGCATGGACTGGCAGACATCTGGACTTCCAGGTAATTTTTGGAAACATCTGACCACTGTTTCTCTGATAAAGCTTTGTGCCTCATATTCTCATAACTGAACTACTCCTACTGTGTGTACCAAGCAAAATACCATCAGAATGGGGGAGTTTCATACAGAAATGGTATGAGTGGTAGAAACAGACTTAGTCTAGCAGTACTTCATGATGGATTCACATCTGTGTTTCCTTTTCCTGTCATACATGGCAGCTAGCAGGCTCAATGTGAATTCAGCAGCTCTTGGATCTACCTGACCTGTTTTTCCTAATCTCGCCCTTTGGAACAGTTTTGTCAGCATTCCAGAGATCTGCTGCGCTTTCAGAGAAATTTGCTTTTCTCTCTTGCTCCATTCACTTAATAGGATGTGCCAAATCTGAGAAACATCAATCAAATCCACTGTGGGAAAATTAATGAAAAGAAATGAATGAGGATCCCTGCCTTTTCATGAATGGTAGCTCAACATTTTTTTTAGAAGTGCCTAGCTAAAACAAGTCTATAAAATGAAGTCTAAAACAGTATGCAACATAAAAAGGAAATAATCTGGGAAAGGTCTTGCTGGGTTTATGCATCCATAGCAGAAACTTATGGGGATACAAAGACAGAGCAGCTCATCTAAAGTTCCCTGGAAGTGATTTTGGGATAGATAGGAAGGGAAGAAAATAGCACCTGGGACTGTGAAAGCAATCTGTGCTTTGGTGTAAGCTTTCTCCTCATGCACAAATACAGAGAAGGGGGATGCTATGGCCAAGAGAAAGGGGAAAACAGTCTGTATTATAAATGTGCCATGGAATGAATAATATCCCGTGGGAAGAGAGAGCTATGGCTTCTTAAAGGTCACATTCAGTGCCACAGAGTCATGATCAATTAAAATTAACATGAGTAGAGAAATATTGCAGTAGATTGCAAGTTTGTGGATGGCTGAAAAAGCAGAGAACCTAGAACATGTCACTTATTGTCTTTCCAGCACAGATGGGAAAATATCAGTGTGAGACACTGGTGAATCTCAGTCTGGAAACCTATGTGCAATTCTGGTCACCAGTGTTCAAGGAGAAGTCGAGTAACTGGGATAGATGCCTAGAAGAGACATAGAGGACTAGGCAACAGAGCTAATGAAAACTGGTACCTGTGTGAATTGGTACTTCTGTGCTGTAACACACAGCACCAGGCAGATTTACCGTATCAGGGCTGAGATCAGACTAGATCCGTTAATAGAAGAGCATGCCCAAATGAAAAAATAGGGCCAAGGCCAACAAACTAGTAATCTTTTCTGTGCTACCCAGAAGACCTCGCTTGCACTGTTGCGCATTTTCAGCAACAGACTGTTTCTGGTGAAAAATTCAAGATTTCCATGCATTTTGGCTCCATATGGAATTTACATCCAGTAATTTCAAAGCAAGCTACATGACCAGGACTTTGTTTCATAATTCTTTGCTTGCATAGTATTATCACTTACTTCAAAGATGGGGAGAATGAGTGCTAGCCAGCGTTCTTCCAGTCTATCATATTTTATTTTATTCTCATGAATACTTATAGTATTAATAATAATGACTGTCAATGCATTTTCAGTGATTCATGATTATTTCCAATAAATCAACTCCGAAGAAACACATGAGAATTTGACATGTAACAAGAATAATAATAAACAGATAAAGATTCATAATGCCAGTGATTTCTACATAGCAGTGTTGCAGATTGTAGTAACAATTTGATTCTCCCATGCTTCTGGAATTTTACTAATGTATTTCCACTGACATTCAAATGCGGGGGGAAAAATCAGTTTGCATATGAAGTACTATCTAGCTCTTAAGTGTTCATAATGTGATCTGAGATTCTCAGGTGGAAAATGAGAGAGTAAAGTAGCATAATAAGTCAAGATGACAGCAACACCATTTTCTTACAGATTCTTCTCCCTGTCAAAGCACAAGATTCTCTTCAGCTACTAACACTGGCACAGACTTTGTATTGCGTGTAGTGTTAGGGCTATTCTGTAGACAGAGCTCTGAACATCATTGAAAGTCTCTGTGAAAGAAAACAAACACACATTACAATAGAGTGGTTCAATTATTTTTTTTTTTAAAGAAAAGAAAACCAAATTGTTTAGCTAAAAATCAAAATAATTAATATAATCAAATTTGGACTTCATTAAAACCCACAATACTCTGAAGGAAAATTTTGAAAAAATGAAAAAAAATGAAAACATTTTCTTTTTTCTTCAGTAGCTTTGTGGGGAAAAATGGTTGTCTTATGACCAGTGACATGCTGAGTTGCAAAAATAATTTTTAAGATAGAGAGCACGCCTGCTTCTTTGGGAATCAAGTCTATTCAGAGACCAGAAAAAAAGGATGTGCCACTTTTAGCCAAGATCATAATGAAATAATATTCTTCAGGCAAAACAGGTTCCTGATCAGACACGCTCATCTACAAGGAACAGTTTATCAGTCTGCACAGCAGGGTTATTTGTTTTGGATGCATATTGTTTCAAGCATTAAACAAATTTCTGTCAAGATCAACATCTGTGACTCTCACAGAAGAAGAAAAGCAATATACCAGAGCAATTGGCTTCTGACATCTCTGTTTAGTAATCCCACTCAAACTGCTTGACCAAATCCCATACCCTTACATTATTTCAGCTCATTTCTTTTACATCACTAAAGGGTGTTTTCCTAGGTGGGAAGTAAGACTTTTGAACATGACCTATACCTGATACTTTACACGCATGCACAGAACTTCAAGACCAAAAAAAAAAAAAAGGCTTGTTCACAAAGCTCTAGAAACTAGAAAGGGATTTATCCTTTGGTTATCCCCCTGTCCTCAGAGACTCTTTCTCCCTGTAATTCAGAGAAGATGAGTTACTCACAGTTGATTAAGGTCAAAGATAAGCAACAAATATGCATAACTGAGTAGAGGTAACTCACAAAACTCTCTACCTGTTTAGTCTGGAAATAAGCCAATCTGTGTGCAATGGTTTCCCTCAAATGCACCAGGCTAATATTAATAGTCAGCAAATTATGGGCTCTGCTGGTTCCCAGATGCTGCCTAAGATATAGAAATAAGCCAATATCTGCTATACCATCTGTTTAGTCCTGCTCTTGTCATACTATGTTTTCTGATATTATTTGGAGATGTAGTGTAGCATGTCATACAATGTGAAAAATGAGTTTTGACTTCCATGCATCATCAGTCCTCTTTCTTCAGTAAACTGATCCAAAGCTCTTTGAAAGTAACAGAAAGACAGTTTTCGGTAGGTTGTGGATTAAATTCCAAATGCTTATTTTCAAATAAAAATGCTAGAAACATACACATGATCCAACTCAAACACCTCCCATGTGCAAGATGACTTTCTAAGTGGAGAGAATCTGTTTTAGTAGCCATCTGCTACTCACTTCAAGTCCATCCCTACAGACAAAATGTGGCCTCAAATTAGGGCCTTATGTGCCTGTCAAGCACAGTTCCAGAATTAAATTGTGAGATCACACAAGTAAAACAGTAGACAAATTAAAAAAATGTCCAAATAAAATACAAAATATTTTAGGATTATTATTTATGAGAGGCTATTGAGGGGCGCTAAACTCTTTAATTTCTTATAGGAATGGAACTTCCCCTTTGGACAGAAAACCAGCATGTCATCATTCTGCAGTGATTCAAATTTCACCTCAAGACTCATAAACGCCCTTTGCTGAGAAGCTGACAAAAGAATTCCTACACATATAGAAGAGAGTGTATTGTTTCCTGACATCTCCAGCTGATTACCTGCTAGTTTTACATTTTGCACTACTTGTTAATGTGGCAAATGAAGTATCCACTACGATTTTGCACTCAAAAAGGGAGTGTATGGCCATCCTTCCTGCCTATTCAAGAATATGTAAAAAAACCTTACCATATATTATAAATCAGGGAACACGGTCCCTGTGCACCTGACCATCCCATGGGCCAACATGATAATGGCAAGGAAGGTGCCAGGACTGATCCAAAAATAAAGGTAGGACATCACTGCTGTGTAGTTTGTAATTTATGTTCTACAGCACAGAGATTCTGGAAGTGGCATGACTTCATTACAATTCAGTAGTTTCTGTTCAAACAGACACAGAAATGTCTCTTGAGAAAAGTTGGGAAAAAATGAGACGAATCCTTGCCCTGCAAGTCTGGATCCATTTGAAATGAACAGATGGCATTAGGCGTTCGATAATGAAACAAACCAAAGTGTAAAACTACATTTTCTAGACAGAGACATATCGAACCATTCAAATCAAACCTTTTAATCTGAACAATTTACTGGAGGCATTTCAGAAATGAAATTAAACAGCATTATATAAAACAACATAATAATTTTGGTGCCAAGTGCAGAGAATCTCCAGAAAATTGCATGCTCTCTGCTCAGGATAAAGTAGGAGTAAGTATCTCTTAACTGCAAAATTGTATCAGGGTGAAAACAGTACCCAAAACAGTTTCAGGATGGGATTACTAATAATCACACAGTCCATAGTGTGTAATTTCAGGCCAGAGAGGGCATACTTTTACACCAGACTCTTCCCAAAATTCATTGTGAGCAGTTGCTCACAAGTCTACTTTCTAAAATTTTTAAACAGAACTAAAGTTTTCAGCTGAGCTGACATTATTTCTTTCTCAGCTGAGAAGGGAAAAAGGAAGCATAACCATGAATCTGCTTCTTCACACAACCCTGGAAGCAAAAGTAATTTTATGCCCCTGATAATAATAGAAACTAAATGTCTCCCCTCAGGATTTATTTCATTAATGTTCTAAACTACATTATATTTTTAAACATAAAAATAGAAATATGAATTCAGTATAGTAACTTTCTTTTAGTTAACATTACGGTTGAAAAATACTAGGTATAACAGATCTAAGTTGCACAAGACTCCAAAGGCTACATATATGACTTATAGTAGGGAAAAAAATGAAATTTGCTAGAATAAAGAAAAATTAAATAGATGGAAGCTATACTATCTAAAACTTAAATAATAAATCTTGTACTGAATCTGAATTTACCCAATTGTTCACTCTATTACATTTTTCCAGTGAGAGTCATTGCTCATTTGTCATAAACATGACAGAATACTGGCCAATTATGAAGCATAAATATTCAGTGATCTATAATTATTGAGTCTACCATAAATATGCTTTTTACCATTTTAATTGGTGAAAGCTGCAACTGTGTGTTTCAGTCTCTAAATAACCTGTAAATACTTGAAATTATGGGATACACATTTACTTTAATAACTTCTTCAATAAAGACTACAAAGTCATAGTTTCTACAGAATTCCTTCTTTGAAAGAAATACCACTATGTTTCTTTTTTATTATTCTTCTTCCTTACTAAGGTTTAGATCTTGGGCTCAACCTTGGGTTCTGCAGGACTGCAGTTCTGCCCAACATTTACACAGGCATGTAAATTTGCTTATACAATTATTCCTAAAATAGGTGCAGTAGTAGATCCCTCTGCATAGCTTGACAGAAAAGTCAGTGAAGGGAAATCAATGAAATCAGAAGATTCTAAGCAATGCATTAAATGTGTTTAGTGAAAGCTACATGTAGCAACCTAAAACATAGACTTACAGCTTGCCTTTTGTTTTCCTCTTCCTTTTCTTTCCACAAAAGGTACATAAAATAAAGCAAGAGGATAAATGTAAAACTACCAGGTTAAACTCACTTAAGTTAGAACTCATTAGAATTTGCTCACTCAGGTAAGAACAGATCCACTGACTACACTGAGCTATACAGCATGCATAATCTACTAGTACTTGATACTTACTGTAAGATGACAAGCTCTCTACCTAATACGGTGCAAAGCCTAACCTTTACATTGCCCCTATGGATAAATGCACTATACTGTTGTACTAGGGTATTCATGGTCTCAAAGTTAAGTATGTGTTCATGTGTTTTACTGAACTGACTGTCATTGTGTAACTTCAGATCACCATACCCATGAACCCTCCCTCCAAAAAGTTATGAAAGGCATTATTAACGTAAGTACCGTCTATGTTTTTATATACAAAACTCAATGGAAAGCCCAGATCTTGACTATAGTAGGCATTCTTGGGTGAAATAAACAGTATCTACTTCAGTGTTAGCACATCTACTTTATAACGAACATAATATGAAAGTAGAAGCAGTATCTGCCTGCCATCAGATCTGAACTAACTCTGCTCATTGATACATTATTTCAGTCAGTGCGTTGTTTTTCAGCTACATGTGCCCCTTATTAATAATTAAAAACACTTCCACAAAACAAAAAATAATTATAAAATTAATTATAAATGTACAGGAAATAAATTTTTACAATTATAAACCCCGATCCCATCAACACAAACATTCTTATGTGCCCAGCAAGAGTAGCCTTATTCTTGAATCCTATTGGAATATTCAAGAAAAGTAACATGTTTGATTACTTATATTTTGTTTGCCTATACAGGTTCTCAGAATATGTACTTTAGCAAATAAAATGCATTTTTAAGCATGCTACATAATTAAGCTAAAGTACAGAGAAAGCAGATCAAGTAAGGCAGAAATCCCCCAACAGATTGATTGACTTGATCACAGAGGCCTTCCTTCTTTTGAAATGAGACAACAGTTTTAAAATGCATAAAACAAACAATTACATTTGTTTCCTGTGAAGGGTGAAAGAAAACATTCTATGTTGTGTTCAAAGACCAAAATGATTGTCCCCTCTCAAAAGTAATGGTGCTTACCTTTCTCTCAGCTACTTACTAAAGGCTCAGAAGTCAGACAACACTGCCAGAGAAGGCCAGTAGTTTTATAGCACTTAAAAGCTGACTTCAAGACATGGTTCTAAATGTTTTGTTTTTAAATGAATGCTGTTCACAACAAACATCTGGCAAAGACCCAGATCAAAGTATCAGGTAATCGTCTAAGCAGTCAAAACAGAGAACGCTAATTAATTAGTAATAAGTATCCTGAATTATTAAAGATAAAACTTCTTTGATCTTTGTTTCAAAGCTATTTTTTTCTTATGGTTGGAGTGCAATATTTCTAAATTGAGGGGTCTTTACTGAGCATCTCCCAGTTGCTGAGAAACAGTGTTGCTATAGAGACTGAAAATGAGGTGGAAGCTGGCGCAATAATGCAGAAATCACAGTGTGCTGTAAGAAACAGTTGGTGCAACTACACAAAGAGGAAAAATAGTAAGTCCTAGTGATAATGTCTTAGAATAAGAATTGTTCAGACCAACCAGAAAGCTTACACACTCCTCAGTACACCCAAATGCTAGGTTTTATGCAACATATATATAACATTTGTAAGATATACATTTATCTTAAATCCCTTTTTCATAATTTTTTCAACAGTTATTTTAACACCCAGGTAGTAGGATTCATCAGTGCTATGAATATCCTGCATACATAGCATTACTCAGTAACTTGTGAGAAAATGTGTGCCAGAAATTACTTACTGGAAACCCAAACTGAGTGATGACTAAGTCAATCACTGTGTTACAACTGTAACCAACTTTGAATATGTTACCATATTTTAGCTTTCCAATTATTTTTGTTCTTTCTTTCTCTCCTAAGCAAATGCTAGGAAAAGAAGCGTTCCCATTCTACTGTGCTTCCATGAGGAAAGACCTGAATTTCCCTGCAGGCCACTAAGCAAATCTAATTCATTTTGGATACAAGATACTTGTTTTGTCTCTCTCCTCCCAACCTCTGAGAAGAAACTCTTTGCCTGTGATTTTCAGGTAGTGACTCAGAAGTTTGGTAAGCCTGCTTAAATATTGCAGAAACAGTTAATTTCCTTCTCATTAACAGCTGTGCAGCATTGGTGTTGGAATTGCAGTCTGTTTGAACTAGGATTTCCACAAGTAGAATAAAAGACTTCAAAGAGCAAAAGACTGCCAAAGCAGATTCCATATAGAAAAAAAAAACAAAAAAAAACAAACAACACCAACAAATGTAAATACACATTAGAGAAGCTAACTTTTCCTCTATTCTCTTGGAGAAGGAGCTATGGAACAAACCAGGTAATTTGTAAAGACTACTGGTAGCATCCTTCCTTGATATGCTCTCCTGAGACATCTGCCTCCAGATGCTCCTCAAGAGACTCAGCCAATTTTCTGTGCATAAGCTACTAGAAACTAATTCCCTGGAGAGCACTTCCTCATGAAATGAATGATTCCTAACCACATTCTTCAAGACTTTTTACAACACCTGCCTCTACAACTCCCATGTGAACTCTTCCATGGAGATACTTGTAACAGTATCTTCAGTTCCTGTAACTGTTGCTTCTCCCATATACATTTCACATGAGAAACTAAACTCTTCCAACTCTCTTGTGATACCTCCACTTTCTGAGCTCCTAAGACCAGTGAGGCACCCCTCCTCATTCTGTCTTATCAGCTGATAAGAACTGATAAACATGGTTTCCTCATGTAAGAAGCAGTCTACACCTGTTCAGAGTTCGAACTTCCACTTGAATGGAAAGAATTAATTTATTCCAGCTATATGTATCTGATTCAAACAGGAAACTTTATTTTGCTTTAAACACTCAATTTGGTAAAAAGTTAGAAAGTACAATAATACTTCATTTTATACATTCTCCATCTTTTAAGACACCAAAGATATGCAATTGAAAGTTGTTCCTCAATAATCCTCTTTAGGCAAGGACTTAACTGCATGTTTGACTTAAAATGTATGAGTAGTCTCTATGAAACTCATGAAATAAAAAAAAACAACATGGAGACAAAAATGATCTTGTCACTAAGGAGATGTATGCACTTAAATTTTTGTATTAAAAATCAATTTTACCTAATTTTTGTGTTAAAAATCAATTTTGCCTAAGAATATATATTCTTATACAAGTACTGGTTTATGACATCTGAAACAAGAATTTGGAGTTATGAAACTGCTACTCTATGTGTGACAATCTTGCTCAAAATTGTCATAGTATGAATGTTTTAGACATTAAACAATGTTCTTGAAACAGTTTATTGGTCTGAAGAAATAAGTTGTTGGATGTAAGTGAAATTCTGGACTCATTGAAGTCAGTAGGAATTTTGCTCCAGATTATTATATTCACACTGTTTTTGAAATCTTTTTCTGCCTGCAGATTTCCATGTTTTTGATGAGGAAGATACTCTAAAAGCTATGACGATGTTTAGCCTTTCTTTGTAGATTAGCTCTTTTGAGCAATGGAAACATTTTTTTAGTATGGGGATTTTCAGCATTTTCTCCTCCAGACAACTCTGGCTAAAGTGAGCCAGTAGGCAAGGTTTCCATCTCTGTAAAAAAAAAACAAACACAACAAAACCCAAACAAAAACAGTACATATTTTTGCCAACCTCCTAAAATACTTACACATGCAAGAAGATAAGCGGGGCACTTTGGTAATATTTGAATAGTACTGCACCTGATACTAATGTCACAAGAGTAGGCCACAACTAAGCAGTTAGCTGCTAGAGGAATGGGACAGCTCTACAGAAAAGCAGTGTCATATAAGTAGAGAGCAGACAGGGGAAGGACATTCCTACCTGATTGAGAATCTCCTATCTGGATTAGCCAAGGTCATGATTAGGGAAGTAATTAAACTCTTCATTTATCAAGAACATTTTTATTGTGTCTGTAGTCATTCCCTGAGAAACAAGCATAGATAACCAAAAGGCTTATGTGCTCACTAAAGGCCCTGGCCACCAAGCTCTAAATGGACTTCCCCATTCTTCAGCTTGCCCTTAATGCAGAACAGCTCATAGTACGGGGAGTGCTGATACAAAAGTACTGGATGAAGGGAGAATATAAAATAACTAGGGAAAAGGCCTGTAGGACCTAAAAGTAGAAAAAATGGCTAGAACAGTGGGAAAGTGCAGGAATTTCAGCACCTGATAATATAAAAAAGTGAGAAAACAAAAATTAAAAAAAAAGTTCATCTGTTCTTATTTTGATGAATGATTATTTCCTTTATATAATCGTAAGACAACAGAGAACTTGAAAAGCAAAATAGGTAGGAAAAACAGCACAGCGACTTGGGAGAAGATGTGGGGTTTTTGTTCTGCACAGGAAAAGTAAGTTATAGATTCAGGTGAGTTTTGCCATGGCAGTATCATGTAGCCTATATAGCCTTCCCACATGCTCCTAAATATTAGGAAGGGATATTGGAGTTGTTCTATAGATTTTTAGTTGAAATTTCTTGTGTCATTATGCATTAAAAAAAATAAGTCATGAGAAACTTGGTGTGTCATTAACAAACAAATCAATATGGTTTAATAATTTATATTGTAGGGATCTCTAAAAGATATTTTATCTGTTGTAATTGGAAGAAGTGGCAGATGTGGCTGTCACTAAGATTGCCTTCTCTATAGAAAGTAGGTATATGTCTTTTCTCAGCCTACTGTCTTTGGGTGTCTCAACCTTTTCTTCTGACTGGCTTACAGGTTAAAGATACTGAATGAACTGTTTGATACTGTAACAAACAGCAAAAAGAGAAGTTCGAGTTCTGATTTACAGTATTTTTTTCTCTATTAGAAATTCAACTCATTATTTCTAAATAGTAAAGGATAGCTTCAAGAACATGTAGTAGGACATATGGTGAAAGTGCTTTTCTAATAATAGTTACTTGGGTTAAAAGGATTTTATATTTACTAGTAACCTAAGAAAAAATGTGTCATGCTAAATGTATTATTTATGTTCAGCTTTTATATTCATGATCTGTGAATGACACAACAGAAACTTATCAAAAAAAGATTTCTACTGTTTAGGTTTGCCCTTCCTATCACTATGATCCAGGCATGATCAGGATACATTGGGTAAGCACTTGTTATTTATATTCCTTCCTGAAGGATTTTATATCCATTTTAAATGAAAGGGACATAAAATAAGAATTGATTACTTGAAGTCTCACTAAAAACTTGATCTCATCTTTTGTGGAGAGAAAAACTCACCTTGATGCAAATAATTTTTACTAGTGATTTTATCAGCTCCATATGGATGCATTTCTTTTATTTCCTTTAGTGCAATGAGCTTTTCCTGAATGGGGGGGAAAAAAAAAAAAAGCAGTGTTGATATCACCCATTCTTTTCATCCACTGTAATTTCAACCATACTCAAAATATGTTAAAATAAAATAATCCTTACATGTCACTAGTATGACTGAAGATCACCACATCTGATTGAAGCTAGAATGTAGAGTTTGGGACCAGATTTTTTAGTATTTTAACATTTAGTCAAATTAAATCCTTTTTGCCTCGCGAAATGACAAGAAGTTCATGATGAAATTACTGCTCACCACTTCTGTATTTTCTGGAAAATTCCTAATTCTAGTAAAATCTGGCCTTCATTCATGCAGAGTCACAGCCATAAGGATCCCCAAAGATATGTCTTCTGGCACAGAACCACACCAGCAAAATCAACAACAGCAGCATAGAACACAGAAACATTAAAGCTAATACTTCTGTTCTGCACAAAAGCCTGCAGAACTTGGGGGTGCAAATTCTACACTTACACAGGTACACTTGTTTTATCATCTCCTTTTTGGGCAACAGGAGAGTCATGTGTTTAATATATAAATACTACCTTACACTTACAAATACCTGGTATTTATCATGCATAAGTGCATGTGTGCAGTTTGTACATCTAACATGTGGAGTAAAGGTCTCAGTATTCCAAGTCATATTGCAACATACCCATAGGTGGCAGAATGGCCATACTATTAGATACAAGTAATCATCACCTGAATCAGCTCATGGGCTAAGCGTCCCAGAACTTCCTGGGTAGTTTCATTAATTTCTAATTCTGTCACAACTTCCCAGTTACCATTCTGGAATCTCACTGGCATAGAGAAGACAATTCCTTCAGGAACACAAAATTGACCTGAAGAAGAGGTAAAAAATAACCAAACGTATTATTTATGATTAAAAACCACATCCTTCCCAGTGTCAAGATTAAGTACAACAGACTTGCAAAAGTCTGCAACTGTAAGATCTTAGTATAAACAGAGACTGCCTTTGCCACTGTACAGTTCAAAGGCTAAAGAGTTCCACTTTTACTGTAACTTTGTATTATAGTTAGATGTACATGAATCACAGAATCATAGAATTGTAGAATAGTTTGGGCTGGAAGGGACCTTTAAAGGTCATCTAGTCCACCCCCCTGCCATGGCAGGGACACCTTTCACTAGCCCAGGCTGCCCAAAGCCCCGTCCAACTTGGCCTTGAACACTGCCAGGGAGGGGGCAGCCACAGCTGCTCTGGGAAACCTGTGCCAGGGCCTCACCACCCTCATTGCAGAAAATTTCTTCCTTACATCTAGCCTAATTCAACCCTCTTTAGTTTAAAACCATTACCCCTTGTCCTATCGCAGCAGGCCCTGATAAAGAGTCCTTCCCATCTTTCCTGTAGCCCCCCTTAAGCATTGAAAGGCCACAATAAGGTCGCCCTGGAGCCTTCTCTTCTCCAGGCTGAACAACTCCAACTCTTTCAGCCTTTCTTCATAGCAGAGGTGTTCATCCCTCTGTTCACCTTTGTGGCCCTCCTCTCGACCTGTTGCAACAGGCCCATATCTTTCCTGTGCTGTAACATAACCACTGTAACAATCTTACACATATGCTAGAAAAGCATTTAAACTAAAAGACTAAGAGACAACCTGCAACAAGACAATATTACCCTAAAAGATGATTGTAACAAGTATTAAATCACAAGCTCTGGAGAGCAAAATTGCTTAGATTTGGAGGTTCTTATGCTGAAACAAATTCTCAGCCTCCCATTATATAATGAATTGCATTACAAGTTTTTATTAAATTAAAAATCTCAATTAAAACCAAACATTATATGTACTAGGGAAAGCTACAAGAGAACATGTGAAGTAAAACTTGTGAAGAAAACTTACCTTCAGTTAGTATTCCCACAGAAATGATCTCCCCAGGAGGAGAGCCATGATACCAGTGTCTCAGTACAGTGGCTACCCCATGAGCAGGTAACATTCCTACACTGTGACAGACCCGGGAACTCAGTGAAGACTGTGCAGATAGAAATGCTGAATGGATCCACTCACTACCAACAAAAAAAGGGAAAAAAAAAAAAAAGAAGAAAAAACTAAGATGACTCCAGGAAGAGTAGTTTTCTAGAGGCAAAAAGAACGAAACTTGGGGGTAGAAAAAAATTATTCAGACTTCACTGCTGAAGGCAAGACACTTAAAGACTGAAAAAATAGGGTCTAACAAAAATAGGCTCAAAAGGTAACAACCAGCTCTACTTATCTATGAAAGTTAAGTCATTTATTCATCATAACCTCTATTATTATTATTATTTATATGTATTATTGTCTTATGTAAGAACCCAGCCATGAACCATAATCCCCCTGTGCTATGCATAGTACACATATAGAACAAAGGAAATGTCTGCTGTCCAGTAAATGCTGGGTTTAGACCAGAGTGGGAGCTCCATATAGCCAGGCCTGAGTGTAGGTCACATATGCTGCCCTCTCACTGCACCCATCCTTTCTCTGCTACTTTTCTTTCTCCAAGAAGCTATCTAGCTGCCAGGTATTCTTTTTACATATGTTAACAAATTGTTTGTTTTAGGAAACTAACAACATTTGTGTGCTCAGGCCATGTGTTCACTTGAATTCAGGTACTTAGATGTAGATCTATGTTTAACATTATTTCGAAGTTTCTTCATGCTAGACATCTATATCACTACCTAGACTTCCATTACTTCTTAGAGGCTGCTCAGGACATGACAGAAGAGAAACACACTTAATATGTGGGAAAATATAGTTACAAAGTTGGCAGGATAGTCAGAACTATGTATAGCACTAGGAACTACTCAACTTCTACTGCAGGCTGAGTACTTCAACTTGAATTTTCATGTATGTACTGTGCTAGTCAATAAAGACAAATCTTGAAAACAAATGTCTTGAAGTCTATTACACAGTTCAGCTAAACATGGATTAAAAGCAGATAGTTTTACTTTAAAAAATAAATCTGTACTGTACCTATCATAAATCACATTCAACAAAGGACATGGAAAATTAGCTGGGCCCCAAATAGCCCAGTCATATCCATAAAGTTTTGCATGTGACAAATCAATGTAGTTGCAGCCAGTAATATTGCCCCAAACAATCACGTCTTTAACTCCTGTAACAGAGGAAAATACACAGATTAATGAAGAGACAGACAGACACTTTCACAGTGTAGGCTGGACTAGATGACCTTCAGAAGTCCCCTTCAAGATGGCTTATTCTTCAAATTAATGTCCCGCCTTGATAGAAGAAATTATTTGATCTGAAAAGTGCAACAAGGTTCTCCATAACATATGAAACTTCACCACAAGCTGAAAAGGGAACTTTAAGTTGTATCATGTTATTGTACATAATAGACAAAACCTAGTAAATGCTTAGTTAAGAACCAAAACAAATCATATTGCAAACATACAGCAATGTTCCTCTTAAAATCCTGTACATGCAAATATAGAATACCTAACAGCAAAAAATAACTTAAAAAAAAGAGAAGTATTTGCTTTGGTGCAAAAGGAACTTCTCAAATAACCTGCCAATTCAGCCTATTAACTTAATTTTCCATTTTATTAGGCTCCAAAATTTCTAGACTTGTTATTGATGATGAGTTCCTACCCCTGCAACACTGCAAGAATCTTGATGCTGAGCAGGCTGTTGGAGCACACCTTTGCTATGCAGTGCAGAATCATGTAAATACAATCAAGCTATAACAATTGACCTGAGAAAGCCAGCTAATTAACTCAGAACTAATACTACAACACAGTTCTACTATGCTCTCATTATTTGCACAGCAGTATGTTGTCATGTTTATTCACAGCTAGTTTGTGTGTCTTCAAAAATAACAATGCTCTGTAGAGTGCAAACACAATCTTGAAGTCCTAGATCTTGATCTGCAACACAGCTCAGTCCTTCTTAGGGTATTTCCAGCATGAAATACACACCAGAATGGCAGGGCTGCGTCCAGGAGTTAGCAAAAGAATTGACATTCATGGGATCAGGCACAGATCCAGATAGCATTAAGCAGAGAGAACAGTAGCACCTGCTAGTGACACCCAGGCATTCTGTACAGCCATGCAATTCAGTGGATGCACTGCTGTACTTACATTTCTGCACACCCATCAACTGTGTTCTGCAATGAAATATGTACTCTCAAAGGTGTGTCCACCCACTGAATTCCCCAGATGCTACCAGAACACACACATATTCACCTGCCGTGTTCATATTCAGCTTCCTGGCCAGCATGGCTCTAGCTGCATGTTCCCAGGGCGTTGCAACAGCAATGACATTTGCAGGCTTAATGGATGGGCCGTATGTCATAATCATCATTGCCTTGAGGTTTACAAAGGTTTTTCCTGATGAAATTACTCTGACCTCACTCTTGGCATTCTTCTCAATCAGGGGAGCATACACTTGACAAATTTCACTCACTTCTCTGATGTAGTTCTCAAGGGACTGGACTTCATGGTTTAAGAGGACATCATCAAGAACAATGATAATATCAGCTTGAATAAAAGCCTCATCTATTTCAGTGTGCTCTGAAATACTGTAGAGGAGTGGGAATGCCATGTCTTCAGCTTCCATTACAATACCACAAAGAACTTCCTTAAACTGGTGGGTGTCAAGCAAATGGATACTGATTTCTGTGGTCATCCCAAACACTTCTCCACTTGCCAACAGAGGGATCAGCTGATAACAGATTGGAGCTGATGCACTGATAAGGATATAGAAAAATTATAGTTAATGACTAACCACCGCTTGTTTGGATGTATTACAAAAATAAACACAAAGATCTTTCTTTTCTATTTGATTATGTTTAAATAGACCATTAGCTTGGATCCTTCATTGCTCTTTCTGTCATTTTAACAGGTTGAAAATTAAAACGGTTTGGTCCTCCTCTCATTTGAAGGTTTTTTCCATCCTATACATTTCAGTCTATACTGTCACTTCAAAATTGGTGTCTTTAAAGAACCACAATTTTTTTAAAGGTGCTCTGTTAGGACTACCAGAAATACAGAAATTTCCAATGCTAGAACTGCAAGAGACTCTTTACTTATTTAAGGATTACCAAAACCATTTAATGCAAGATAGTTGCACCACAAAATTCCTAGCTTATTTTGTAAATATTTGCTTTTCCTTAAGGTGATCTGGGGTCTACATGTTGGCTGTTCACATCCCTCACACTGGTGCAAAAGTAACAAAAGTATAAATAATTTCTAAATTATAGACTGAATGCTCATAGTGGGGGGCGAAGAACCTAATTCAGCAAATTACAGGAATTCATGTATAACTTTAGATGGTCACATGTGTTATACGTGATAGAAAAAAGTGCATTTTTCTGAAGTTGAGTGAAACTTCATAGATATTCCTTTTACTCGCACCTGGTGATCCAGATCTGCAAAGGCCTGATAAGACTTTTAATCTCTTCCTCCTCTTCTTCAGTTTCAATATGCGCCTGCAGGTTTTCCTCAGCTATGTCTGACATTTCCTCACTCAGCATCATTGAGGTGATGCCATAGTAGTGCTAAGAACAAAAAGAATGACCTCTAAGCAAATGACAACCCAACTGCAGCAAGGTAACATTAGAAAGGATAGCTTTATTTTACATTTGAAGGAGGAATAAAAAACAACAATGTTATAAGAAAACGTAAAAGGCAGGTTTACAGTATTAAAGGCAGCTCATTACCTGAGCATATTCCAGAAAATCATTAACTCCTCCCAAAAGCAGACCTTTCCCTCCACGGTCCAACAGTTCTCTCCAAATGATAGGAGACTGTCTGTGTTCCCATCCATTCGTTTCACAAATGTCATGAAGCCACTGCTAATGTAAACATCCCCACCAAAAAGGTTTTAATACTTTTCCACATTTGGTAACACTTAAATATTACAGTTATAAACATTTTTATTATTTCCTCTTAATGCCAGATTACAAGGTGCTTCACAATTTACTCATGTACCAGTGTGTGCAAAATAGGGGGGGGGAATAACACAAAGCAAGGCATGGTGATAGACTGCAATACCTCACAAAAGAATAAAAGGTCTTACTTCTGCTTGATTTTACTCAGTTGTCTTAGTGGTACAGTACTGAAGATAGCAATGGTGTGAAGCTACAAGTAATCTGAGGATTCCTATTTAGCCACAGAAGGTAAGTAAACTGCAGATGTTAACTGCTGTTCACTTAACTGAGTTACGTGGCTGACGTGTCAAGCAAAATATAAGAGGCAATAAACGTCATAGTACTGTCTATCTCATGAAGTAACACTGAAGTTTTTTCAGTTCCTAGATGGACTAC